ACCGTTTGTGATTATTGCCTCTCGGAGTTTCGTTCACACTATAGACACCACGTGCGCAGAGTCGCAGACTTATGCCGCAGTCGTGCAGACATCGTCGAATGCCGTAGACACCAAAACGTGGCGAAGAGTGCGGTGCAGACGACACTCGCGCCTGCCACACACGGCACGCCCGCCCCCATCCCGCCCGTCGTTGGGCCGAGGATCACGTGACATCTCGTACCACGTGATGGCCATGTACTTAGCGGCCCGAGGCCAATGTTGCCGGACGGAGCCGAAGTTTCGGTTTTGATTTCCACTCGTGTTTAAAATTAGATTTAAAAATATATATCCCATTTTTCGCGAAGCAAACGACGTAGTGTCTTTTACTAGGGCTTTTTAATTCGAAATCACTCATTATCCCGAAATCTTCGGAATTGAGCGGACTTGCCCTTTAATACATCTAGTGACTTCTTCAAAATAAATCGATTTGTCGCAGTGAGTCACGTGACGTCACAAGGCCACGTGACTTTACTTGACAACATGTATTGACACCGGGGTTGGGCAGAAATACTCAAAAATGTATTTGGAAATACAAATACTGGGATACGTTAAAATAGTACCTAAAATACTGATACTGAAATATATGTGTAAAAATGTATCGCGATACGTATCGGAAATACATTTTAAATAGAGGCAAAAAGTATTTGGAAATACAAATACAGGAATACATTTTAGGAAGCGCAGAAATACAAATACAGAAATACAGATATTGCGATACATTTTTGAAATTTGTTTGAGACGCCAACTGAGATGAGGCTTGAAGAGGAAGGTTTTGATCCAGAAATTACTTTCCCGTAGGCTTGGCACTTTGCATTGAAGGTAGTGGTTTCGGACGACGAGGAGTCGCCCTTTTTTAGACCACCTGATACTGGGTGGAAGCAACACGACGACGTCTCAAGAGTCTTCAATGGGCAAAAAAACAAATGATCTATCAAGGATTGACCGTGGTCGCTTCCCTGACATGTCTAACGAGTGATGCGAAAATACTTCGACCTCTAAATAAATTCTATGTCATCCTAAATCACCACGCCCTTGTCCAATAGGGACGCCCCTGTCAACATTTATCACATGACGTCACGGTGGAATGAACTGGTATTCTTTATCTGTAGGTGTGGCCTTGAACGTGAAACTTTAGCACGCTGCTTTATGGAAGGACAATGCGTACTTTCGTTGTAGGTTACCTCGTTGAAGACCGAGCAGGCAGTGCCATTTAGAATTTTCGAGAATAGTGGACCACCTGAAGCACTCTGAAACACGTGCCTTATCGTATGTTACGGTTGAAAAAACAGTATGGTGGCATCCCTGTTGTGAAGGTCCTTTCTGCCGACCCTCCGCCACCGACACATGAATTGCAGTCCTCCAAGTCTCGCCTAGCATTATCCAAACAGAGACCTCGTAGGCTGCGACCTGATATTGCCGGCACAGGAGTGAGCTCTCCGAGAAACAGCGAGCTCGAGACTAGTCGCAGGTGTACGAAGTCTGGGTCGGCACCCCGAGGCCACGTCTGGCCTCCTTCCTGGGTCTCAGATCACGAGACCACCGGGTCACGTTCACGTCGGCTGATGACGTTCCCGTGAGCTGTGCAATATTACGGGCGCAGCCGCAGACGCATTCTAGTATGTCTTGAACTCCTGGTGCCCCCAGAAGTAAAAAAAAAATGCGTTCGGACTTTTTTGTTGTTGTTGTTAGGGGGGGGGGGGGGGGGGGGGGGGGGAGTATTGCTCAAGAAATGTAACGAAATACATTTCATTCTGATTGTATCGCGATACAAAGAAACGTTTTAAATGTATTTCGATACAGAAATACAAATACTGGTGAAAAAAATGTATCGCGATACAGAAATACAGATACGAAATGTATTTCTGAAATACTATCGCGATACATTTGTATCGCGATACTGCCCAACCCTGATTGACACTATGACGTCATGTGACAACGTGACACATGGTTAATCATAGTGCCAACTAAGGTGCCATGAAAATCCACAATTTATCATACATTGAAATTATGTATATGACGATTCGATCAATAGATAGAAATAGAGCCGCCAATTGTTTATTCCCGTGTTCATTTCGTGATACTAACAAAAAAGAAAAAAATATTACCTTGAACCATTTTGAACCGGTTACCGTTATATTTTTTTTCGGTTCGGTTCCGGTTCAGTTCCAAGATGGCGGCGAAGATTTCGGTTCGGTTCAGTTCCGGTTTTCGGTTCGGTTCGGGTTCGACACCCTGGTTACAATACGCTCACTTGTGTCTACCTAGTCTCCCAACTTGCTGAATTAGCAAAGGTGACTCTACTGAAAGAACAATCTTTAAGCAAGTTATAAAATTTACTTCTATATGCCTTCCAAATGTTTATAGTTGTTAAGTAAGCTAACTACTAGAACACTTTTTTCCCATATTTATTTTTTTATTTTTCGAAAGTTTTTTTTTACGACCACATCTTTTTTTCTCTATCTGCGTGCGTTTGAGTGGGGGTTAATGAGTGTCGCTTGTGCCACCTTTTATGGACCACAAGGCCCAGCCACGAGTGATTCGTGTTTTGGTTTCAGCGCGTGTTTAGCGCGCCCTCCGCCGGATGACGGAAGCATCTCTGTTGGTGCTTTATGTTGCTTCACTTACCTTGGATTGTTTGCTCGCTTGTTTTGGTGTTTGACAAAAAAAAAAAACAAAAAAACACTCCATACAGCCAAAGAAAAACAAGTGTGCCCGTATACTGTATTTACTTGCATTTTTATCAAGGAATAATAAATGAATGAATAAATGAATAATGAACGCACTCCCCACAATGGGAATATTGACTTTTTCTTTTCCCCTCGCGTAATGAACGCAACTCCAATTTTCGGCTCCGCGAGTCTCGAATTGCGTCCAACTTAGGTAGCTAGTCACCAAGCCCGTTTTCCTTTGCCTGCCAAGCAGTCAGGCCAAGTCGAGCCAAGCCAAGCTGCACTCGTGATGACTGCAAGTGCGTAGTTGTGGAAGTGATGAACCGTGAAACCGAGCGAGGTGCACACTTGACAAAACTTGGGTCGAGGAATTGCCCCAGCCCCAGACATTCTTCATCTATCAGATGCACTGATGTCCTCAAACATGCCGTCGTCTGTGGTCCGTTTTCGGACCGTGAAATCTTGAAAGTGGTCAGGCCTAAGAACGGTCGTGTCGCTTTCCGTGCTGAGTGAGCTTCATAGGGCGCTTTTCCTTCGGCCAAAGGCTCGCCGAAAGTTCCCTAAAAAGGTTCGCAATTTATAAAGCATGGTTACTGCGGCGCGCCCTCGACCAGCCGTGGGTGCGCCTCCATCAATGGAGACGTGGCACAGTACCTTGCCGTGTCATTTTTGGCACCTAATGTGACATTTGTACTAAGTGTGTAAATGCAAAAAATGTTGCCCCGCTAGAAAGAGTGTTCATTATGCGAGTAGATACAATAAGCGTTTGTGCCAAAACAACGAGGCTTTGGTGCAGAGGTTCGCTGACAAAGAGATAGAAAAACATATTTTTGAAAGTGATGAATGCTCAGGAATGTCTAGGGTGACCACCCGTCCCACAACTCGCGGGACTGTCCCGCATTGAGGGCTCGTGTCCCGCGTCCCGCAAGAAATTTCCAAATCTTCAAAATGTCCCGCATTTGATACTGTCATAAATTCAATCTGCAACTCATGGTGCTGCTGAACAACAGGGCACGTGGAAGCGCGGAAGTTGCGAATAATCGTGTGAATCACATGGGTACCCCATTTTCTATCCATGCATTGCGGGAAGCGACCGTCGTTTTTGCAGTAGAATCGACAAGCATGCTCTGTTGTGCCTCTCCCCTTGCTGGCAAAATAGTGTAAGAAAAATTCTCACCAAAATTTTAAATATAAGATACTGTAATTATTTTCATATCGCTGTGTCAATGCAAAAGAGTTGCCGTGGGTGGAAAAAGAACATAATGTTAAAAATTTGTGTCACAAAAAAAATTAACTTGCGTCTACTTTCACGCATAACACCTCGGAGGGCCAATTACCGCAACTTACGGAGGCAGCTCAGCGAATGACGGTGCCGAAAGATATGTTTAGACCAAAAAACGCAGTCTGAGTTGTGATATTAAGCAATGCAACCGTGACGTTTTGCATTGCTCAATGTCACAACTCGTACTGCGTTTTTCGGTCTAAACATGTTTCGGCATTGTCATTCGCTGAGCTGCCTCCGTAACTCGCGGTGATTGTTACTCTGAGTCTTGTGCGGGAAGGCAGACGCATGGGCTTTCTTTTTAGACTGCAGGACCACATTGATAAAAGTAAGCGTTGACATGAAACAATAAACAGAAAAAGATGTACAGTTTCTAATTCCTATCTGATGCATTGAGTTCTGCTTCAGAGTATTTTTATGTTTTCAATTTCAACAAATGTAATAACACATTTGGCATAAAAAAGTATATCACTGGGAGTGCAAATTATTTGAGCTGAATTGCGGCAATACAATTAGCAGGTGTATAAACAGCACAGAATATTAAATCTGTTAACAGAGCCCCGGTTCGTTGTGCGCGTGTTAACAAATGACCTCTACCCCCCCCCCCCCCCCCCCCCCCCCTTTCCCGCTTCCACTGCCGCGCGTGTCCTGCATTTCGCTAGCAGGAAAGTGGTCACCCTAGGAATGTCTAACATCGCACCCACTGAAGAGGACCCAACGTATGCATGCCAAGCATGCCCAGCCAAGAAGAAACACAATGAAACAACATGGTAATGTTGAGCAAAATCCACCTTCCTGAGCGTCACTATCACACTGGGATGAACAGAAAAGGACCAGAAGACTGATTTAGAGCAAGATACCATATTAGAAAGTGGAGGAAATGTGTTTGTCATTGTTTGGTGCAACGTTCAAAATAAAATTTTGGTTCTGGGAAGTAAAAAGTGAGCAGACAAGGGGCTAAAGAAATTGAAGCAACCCCAGGGAGCGGCTTAATGAAAGCGCAATACCGCAAAAAAAGCCACATTTATTTCGATGCCACTGGTACGAAAAGTGAACCAAATGCTTTACTTCCTCTTCTGTCCGGAAACATGTAGACAGAAAAAGGAAATGAGCAGTCGCTTTGTTACAAGGTAAATGTTTCCGAAGTGGAGGCCATAGCGTTAAAGATGAAGGTGTTGTCGAGGGGGACATACTGTCCCGTGACCAACTTGATCACTTCCTGCGCTCCACAGCCCCCGATGAACGCGGCCACGGTGTGAATTTCAGCGGCTCCATAGCGACACCTACGAAAAGAAAAGAAAGCACACAGCAACGGGTTATCTTAAAGTAAGCTACAAAGACCACTGCTTCGCATATGTCGTACGAAGGTAGCGCAGTCTGCCGGAGCGTCCTTGGCACGGTGGCCATGAAGTAGCGAGGCTGGCTGCCCAGCAGGCGCTGTCAGTCACGAGCAGGAGGAGAGCGCGAAAGGGCGGCCATCCTCGTTACTTCATGACCAGAGCTCGTCTAGCCTCCAGTTGGAGCTCAGTGCATTCCGGTATCACTCGTTAACCTTTCCTAAAGTTTCCATAACTAAAAATGTGCATAGCAGGGAACCTATTTTCAGACCGGGGACGAGGAAATGCCAGCACTGAAGGGGTTGACACACTATGAGTGCAGCACTGTTTCCATGAATGGAAAATTTGTTTACAATGGTGTATAAATAGGGGAAGGGTGTATGTTGAAGGGGATCACAGTGGAATTGTAAGAGTCATAATCACACCACTCTTTTGTCACCCGCCTTGTTACCTAAAGGGATACTAATATGAACATTGAAATATAGTACCTCTCACGTTCAGAGATAAGTTCCGCATGACTTTACAAATCACAGGGTTTTCACCGTGGCTGTTCAGGACCTTTTTTACTCGCTTCCCCATAATTCTTTACTTGTCCCTGTCAATTCCTGCATTTAGTAACACGATGAACTTTCGTTTTGGAACTCAGGTGGAGTAATCTTAGAAAGTTTCCTTGAGCTTCTGCATTTCAATTCTAATTCCACATTCATAGGGTGGCAAAAAGGGGTATTTTTTTTGCAAAGTCGGGAGTGTGCATAGGATCCGCTGTAGCACCGGCTGGTGTTGACAGTGCTATAGAATCCTCCATTGAATCTACGACAGTCACTAGTGTGTTTAGGTATGTTGACGACTTCCTGCTAGCGTACAAAAAAAAAAAATGGTGGACAGGGAAGTTGTCAACAAGACAATGAACATTTTCCACAAATGCAGTTTAGGACTTCTTTTTACCTTTGAAATGCCTAAGGAAGGAGTTTTGCAAATTCTGGACCTCTCGCTTTCCTTGCAACCCAGTCACCTGTGCTAGTCTTTCTCACCTTGTTCAAAAAAGGCATTCTAAACCACACGTCCACACACTCTACAGTCGTAAAGAGAAGTCTCTCCTGCTCTACATCTGCCTTAACAAAGTCATGTTTTCATACCATCAAATGCATTTTCAACGCTCAAATGGAGAGGCCGACATCCTCGGGCTTTCCAACTCAAGTGTTGACTGAGGTGGTGGGAACTTTAATAAAAAAAAGTAAAGGCGAATGAAAAAATGTCATTTATAGTATCCCGATTTCACGTGGTAGATGCTATGTAACACAGACGGTGTGTTAACAACCGGCTATGAGAACACAATCTTTCTCTCAAATCCACAGTCACCTACCTCTGCATTGTCAAGCCTGGTCGTGCCCTTAGAAAAAAACCGAGATAATAGGCAAATATTGTGACAAACACACCAGGAAATCTTGGAAGCATTTAACATCCGTAGCATGGGCGAGCGATGCGTCAGACAGCCCTCTGTCTTTAAGAGAAAAAGAAATGTCTCTTCTACAATCCTTCTCGCATGGCTAAATTTTTCCTGCGTGGGTTTTGCTCCCTTCCAATATATGCGAGTGTGCGCTTCTCTGTTGTCTTTTTGTGCATATCTTTAACCATGCTCGCATGCCTGGCATCATCCCAGAAAATTCACAGGGTCTCTTACGATATCCCTAAGACGACTTGAAAGCGAAAGCCCAAGCGCTGATGCATTAAAAACAGGCACATGATTTACTTTGTTTCACATTCTCTTTTTTCTTATTCTCTTTATGTTTCATGTTATTTCCAGACTTCATGCGCTTTCCAGACTTCATGCGCACAATTCCTATTGGCTCTCTTACTTCACTTTAATTCCTCTTAATTCACTTTAATTCCTCTGGTTTTTATTTGTGAAAACAATCATATATATAGCTTCAATCTAACACATACCCTCTCCTAAGATCTGTTTAACCCCCCTAACAAGAAGGCATACTCACTCCCCGATAAGGAAAGGGACGTGTCACTTAAGCATTTTTTGCCCTTTGCCTGGATTTCAAAGGCCTCATGCAGTTCTCTAGAAACCCTATCCGGGTATCTAGCCAGAAATCTGGTGTCACCAAATGACGGGGTGTTGTCCAACATTTTTTCTCAGTAAGTGCGGAAGAGCCATCTTAGAGAAGCTACGGGTCTCTAGCAGGTTCAAAATATTTAGATTTAGATTTGTGGATGACTCCCTCATTCTGAGTAATCAGGCGGACGCACTAGGGTGTGATGTGAAGGAAGTGCAGGAGGAGGTGCTTAGGACTTGTGGCAGTGGCTTAAACTTTACGCATGAGGAGCCAAAAGAGGGACGGTTGCAGTTCCTGGATCTTCGGTTAAGTCTCCAGAAGGACCACATTGGCTGGACCAGTGCCTCCAATATAAGTTACACTATGCCTGTCAGCTTCTCTCCAAGAGGTGTCCAGGCCCGATGCTTCACCTCACAACACGCACGTACGGCTAGGTAGCGCCGCCTGCTGGACATTTGTTTTTTTCTATTTTTTTCTAGCATGTTGTATTTACATTATTATTGAAGACATATCATATATGTTTTTTTAACAACATGTGGAACACTGTTCTGGATGTGATTGCCCTGATTCAAACGAGTTCTGCTGAGACGAAATACGAAACTACGAAACAAGCACGGCCAGGCTTAGCTTTCTCAACGCGAACGCAGAGAACGCTTGGCCGCTTGGCTGTCTGCTTTGGCGGTCCACCTTGAATCGCGCGCACAGAAATAGTTGGCGCCGGGTCGTGTGCCGGTGCAAAGGTAGGAAAATAAGTAATATTCCGTTGAAAACACCGAGCTGGTCCCGAGCTCTCAGTCAAAAACACTTAGATTTCTTGCTGTCGGTGCTGCTGGGGCGACATCGTTGAACCTCCTATGGAAGGGATGGTTGGCTTCATTACACGGAAGGTTTGTACGCCCAGGTGGCTCCACCGCACGGCAACGACACATACTATTTGCCCTCTCCCTTCTGCTTGCCAGTGCTCAGAGCTGACAGGCATAGTGTAACTTATATAGGAGGCACTGGCTGGACGTACCAGCCAAGGTAAAAAAGGCCATTCTATCGTATAGCTCTGCCGATTCGAAAGTCGTGAAAAGAAGTACTGCCTCTACATGTCTAGAGGCGGCCCTTAAAAAATCCTGCAGGCATAGTGCACAAGAAAGTTTTGATAAACAGGTTGCAAGGCTTAGGAGAGCGGGTTTCCCTCAGGGCACTCTGATTGATGTGGCGGAGAGCCTGGCGACGGAAGCCACTCCATCAGGACATCTTGCCACTTACTGCAGTCGTTGCCCATGTGCCCCGTCATTTGGCGACACCAGGTTTCTGGCTAGATACCCGGATAGAGTTTCTAGAGAACTGCATGAGGCCTTCAAAATCCAGGCAAAGGGCAAAAAATGCATGTGACACGTCCCTTTCCTTATTGGGGAGGGAGTGTACCTTCTTGTTACGGGGGTTAAACAGATCTTAAGAGGGGGAATGTGTTAGTTTGAAGCTGTATACATGATTGTTTTCACAAATAAAAACAAGTTGCGAGTGCGCTCTTGTCTGTCTACTTCCTCGTCCTTGTCTTTTTTGCACTTCTTTAGGTGATCATGAACCAACTGGCCCAAATTGTTACCTTAATTAAAATCATGGTTTATAGTTATCTGAAGCTTTATCTGAAGTCACAGGAGACTCCTTTCCATCCTCCACAAATGTTTAAACACTTCGCGACAGAGCAAAGCAATATTACATGGCCTTCCTAACACCGAATATAATGCTGGAAAAGTCACACTTTAGAATCATGACGATCTGCAGTTGCGTCTGCTCTGCACAAGCCCCAAAATGGCGGCGCCCATAACAATGTCGAGGAACGGAGTGCCGATACTCTAAGCACAGCTTATTTAGTGGCTCCAGCTTATCCCTACAATGTGCTACTTTTTATTTTTACGTAAAATTATTTAGGAGTACGTAGTGTCGTCGGATCATTTGCTGGCCCACAGCTAGCTCCACCTAGCCTCAAGAAAATGGACCTGTAACAAGGTACTGCGGTGGGCTAGTTGGTTCATACTTCGTGTTTGAACAGCGCAAAGATGACAGGATGATAGAAGAGAAGAGGACAGGACGAGCGCTGTCCTCTTCTCCCGTCCTAGGCCTGACCTGTAAGGCCAGGCCTAGGACGGGGGAGGGGAAAGGAAAAAAAATGAAGCCAGGGCATGGGACGATGATCACGTTGCTGAATAAAAGTTTTGTTAATCGGTTGCAATCTGGCTTTGCGTTCATGCATCACGACGCCTCAACCGATGCCAAGACACCGCAGAGTGCTTTCTACTATAAAACATTATTCTAAAAATGATTAAAAAAAGTTTCTTCAATTTTTCAACTCAAAACCAAAGAAATACTCAAAGTATTTCTTCGTTCAATGATACATGATACAATATGATACATGAAGAAATTCTTCGGGTATCGTATCTGACACGCAATGCATTGGTGCCTCATAGGTGTGGATGAGGCGAAAGCAGTCTTTGCAATTGTTCGAGCACAGTGCAAGTGCAAATTTTTCGCAGTTTTCAAACATGACGAGCGCACAGCTTGAAAGTTGGAATGGTTAGAAGAGCTGCCTGGGAGTTGCGCTCTCCCCGAAATTATTGACATATGTCAACAAGCCACATAAAACATGTACATATTGGATTCGTGTTGCCTTTCTGCTCCAGTTTCTTGGAAGGCGCTTTTTACAGGAGTGTATCACATATGATACACCATGTATACGTGAAGTTGTCCCAAATTCTAATTAACTCTACCTTTGGCACGCCTTCAAGCTTTTGCGGGCATTCCTGGGCAAGTGCATCCGGCTCCTTAGGCCTACGAAGCTTCTCAGGCAATGGCAGTAGTATGCATGGGCTCGTCCAATTTAGCGCGCCGCTAAATGACCGCATCTCCATGTGGTGAATGATGTTGATTGGGGCGAAGCTCTGGTGGTGCTGATGATAGTGATTTTATTGTTCATAGGTAGTGCTGATGGTGCTGATTTTTTTTTATTGCTGCTACGTAGTGCTGAGTTCCAGGTGGCGTTTCGACTTCATTATTACTGCTTTATGGTCGGTGAAATGCAGAGCCAGTGGTTCTTCTAGCGGATCAGCTTGGATCCACTAGAAGCCGTGGGAACGCATCTCCACCGCTTAAGTCTACGGTCCATGTCAGAAAGAGAATGTGTGGTATGGAACGTGGTTATATACGCATTTGAGCATTTGACCGCAGCGCCCTCTCGTCTATAAACGTTGGGCCAATGCATGCAAATTTTAACGCGATTATACACGCATTTCACCACAGCACTTTCTCCTGTATAGACGTTGAGCGGCTACATGCAACGTTTCATCCACGACATCCCCAGCTCTTGAGTTACTACCACATCTCAGAGCTCCCTACTCGTCCCACAGTCGTGGCCGGGTGTTTAAGGGAATGGACTAGAAATCCATTGGGGGTCTCCCTGCACAGGTTTGAATCCTGTCGACCGTGCACATTTTTTTCTTTTTATGTGAGCACGGACAAGGCTAGACCCTAAGGAGCTTCGCCCCTTAAACACGAGGACACCAGACTGACCGATGAGAACAGCTAGCACATGACGCACGGCAAGAGCGGCAGATTCAAATTGTAGGAATAAGCGTCCCACTGGTCCCATTCCAAGGTCTTGAACGGCGATTCCGGAATAGGGCTGATGGGGCCACTGTTTTTTATACAGTGTGGATGGGCATCCGAGCGAAGTCAGTTCGCTGGTCTCACCAGTCCGCTGGGAGGCAGGCGTCTCGATAAGTGTTGTTTTGTTTCGTTATTTCTGCACATTTGAATCATATGTCTTTCTCATGTTTTTACCTTTCCCGCTACGTAAAAACAACTATTCAGAAAAATAACGATACTTCGCGGAGCAATACACTTCATTTAGCCCGCATAAAATAAATTCCAACGGCTCTTGCCAACACTGCAAATCAGAGAGTTGAACCATAAAACGTCCCCACTGCACCACCAGCTGCACGTTTTGAACACGCTGGGCTGCCACCAGTCGTCGCGCTGTTTTTGTCCCATCAAAGTAACATATAAAACGCTATTATCTTGTGGCCACTACTTGTTCCCCGAGTAGCCCGACTCACTGACGAGGTAACGTAAAAAGCCCAGAAGCTCAAATATCGCTAGAGTGCCCCTTCAAGCTAGTCGTGACAATGCTACACCGATCCTACCCGTCCACCTTTCAAAGCCCAGGCCTTTAAAGAAAAGGCTGCGCGACAAACTCACATTTCGTGCACATAGTCGTCCTTTGCAACGGGACCAGATGCCCAGTCCTGAAGCAGGTGGCACAGGGAAGTCTGCACCGGGAGAAAGGAGTTCAGAGAAGACGCAAGGACCCTTTGGGACTGCGGGAGAGGAGAGGCCACATATCCGCATCTCACTCTTTTATCACTACCGTAAAATACCGCGCAAGCGCCCATTCAAGATTTAGAGATAATCGGGGAAAAATGGGGGATGAGCACTTGTCTGGTCATCAATTTTACATATCAATGCACTGCACATATTTTCTCAGATCTTACAAATCTGGGAATGGGCGCTTAGTGTGCAATGGGCGGATGTGCAGTATTCTACGGTAATGACACTTTCTGCACTGACCATAAATTACTCCACATTCCTTAAAAAAGTAAGAGTTAAACATAGGATAGAACAGAGTTAAGCTTTTACACTATATTGAGGTTCTCACCTCAAAAGGTAAACTCACTTAAACCTCTACATTAAGACATAGGGTATGTCCAGTAATTTTGTAGAAACCAATATGAGTTGCCTCTAATGTTTTGATACCTTCCTTTTTTTTTTTGTGTCAATTCCAAATGCAGTTTTCGTTACGGGAATTAATGCTAGAAAAAAAAAGCAAAATCATGGCACAAGCTACTTTTTTAATGGGCATGACCGTTGCACAGTGACGTATAAAACATTTGTCTTATAACATTCAGGGCAACTCCGCTCAATTCTGAAAATTTTGGGATAATGAGTGATTTGACAATAAAAAGTAGTAATAAAAGGCACTACTGTCAAGACCGGTTATAACGAAATAGCGGCTACAGCGAAGCGATCACAATTCCCCATGCCCTTTTGCACTCCACAGGTGCATGCCAAACTTAGGCTGCCCATTCAATACCCCAAGGGTCCCAACCTTGCCTATACGGGGGCAAGGTCAGCATAGATGGGGGCCCCAAGAGGGCAAAGTGTGGGCATGCCCAGCTTGGCCTGCCTGGGATTCCCAAAACGGCACTTTCCGCTGAACTTGAAAATACTTACTGCACTTTCTGGAAATTCAACAAGGAAGATTTGAAAGTGAACATTCAAGGGAACCAGGAAGATGTGCTTAATTTCACACCAAATCACAGAGGATTGCAATGTAAAGCATGAGAGAGAAATTTTAGGTTCACAAAAGTTCATGTATGTGGAGAAGGCTGTTTTACGGTGTGTGGAATTTTTTATGCGACGTATTAAATTTAATTTAATTTCATTTATTTACCTTAAAGAAATCTGATGATGCATCACATAAGGGATGGGGGAAAGACAGCAAAAAAGAATAGTCATGATGGTAACATATGCAAAAGCAAGAAAACCAACAAAAAACAAACAGTTCATCTAAAAATTCACCAACGACAGAGTACTCAAAATCAAACTTTAAAATGAATATACTGAAATTTAATAGATTAAGCAATACAACAAGGACCACAGCGCTGAAGTAGAAAGTGAATGGCCAAGATTTGATTGATGTTAGGTAAAAAGAAATTAGCTAAACACATCTAGGCAGCTATGCTTAAATAACGTAGGACCAAGTTAAGTAACTACGTGTGCGGGGAGACTACTCCAATCTTTTATACATAATGATAGTGGAGAGAACATTAACACATAATGATAGTGGAGAGAACATTAACGCATAATGATAGTGGAGAGAACATTAACACATAATGATAGTGGAGAGAACATTAACAAGTTAGTACAAACTTTGCATGTGTGATCAAGCATGGGAGATATGAACCATGCAGGTATACAGAAAGATGTCCGGAAAAGTGATTCGGCGTAGTAACTTGATGGAAAAAAGCGTGAACGAGAAATGTTGCATAGAGTTTCTAAAGAGGTTAGTTCGACGTTCCTCTTCAGCTGAGACACTTGTTAGGGGATCATACTCGTGGCAGATGAAACGCATGGCCTTGCTTTGTAAAGCTTCCAATTTTAGGGTCAAATCATTCTGGTGAGGATTCCATATCATGCTGGCATATGCGATTTTCGAAAGGATAATTGACTTATAAGCACAAAGTTTACTTTCCTGGGTAGCGGAATGAATGTTCCGTTTAAAAAAACTTAGTTCGCAGGATGCATTATTCGCTATACTATCTATATGTGCATTCCAGGACAAAGTGTTGGTGAAATTAACTCCGGAGTACTATAGGACGTTACACATTATATTACTTGGTTTAAAAGGGAGTACTGGAAAAGTAATGTTTTTCGCTTATTTGTACCTGTTAATACGAGGCATTTACTCGAGTTGATTTTCATTTGCCACGCAACACACCATTCGCCGATTTTATTAAGATCATTTTGAAAGATGACGCAACTCTGCTGGAGATAAAATATTCCGGTAAAGCGCACAATCATAGAAAGAGTCTAATGGTTTGATGGGAGGTCATTATATATGTCACAAAAAGTAGTGGTCCGAGCACGCTGCCCCGGGGTGCTGCGAAGATTACTGGTGCCTGGGAGAAGACTGCATGGCCTTCCCTGCCAGAAGGAGCACAGCCAGCAGCGTGCCACTCTCACCTTGAGCTTGCTGATGTCTGTCTCTAGCTGGTCCTCAAAGAAGCCAGGGTAGCGGTTGTATTCGTTGTAGAACCGGTCCACTGCCCGCAGCATCACGTAGTAGACCATCTCGCTGTCCGGAGAATCCAGGTTGGTCACTGCAACGGGGGCAAACCACCGGGCCATTCCGCCTTTCCACGGCAGAAACATCTGCTCCGCTTCCAATTCCTTAGAGCGGAATATTCTACCTTACCCGCACCGTTCTGGCAAAGGCACGTCACTTGACCGCGACGTTGCACAAATGGACTCGGCGCGCGTCTCGAGCTTCGCCGGCGCAAACGTCGTCCTGCTTAGCTTCTTTGACCCCGCAATTTTACGACTTCCCGTATCCTCCAAAGCACACGCTTGTTTCTTGTTCCCTCGTCTTCCGCATGCTCTCCCACCACGTGCGATTGCACTGCCTCGCGAAAGCATTTCACAATTGGTTTTCCCGCACGCACCGAGGGCACGATTGTTTCGGCGGCGGATCGACGACCCGAGAGTCCCCAGTTCAAAACTGAGCTCTTCCGCGTTTCCTCCAGTGCCTGTTTATAATGATGTACTTTTGTGTGGTGCTCCTGCATTAGAGGAATCTGCACGACACGACAGGGACCACCGGGCACTCTTGGGTAGTAACGCGTTACTGTAACTTTGTTACTTTTTTGGTAACTTGTAGCTGTAACGAGCTACTTTCTAAAAATATAACTTGTAACTGTAGTTCTATTGTAACTGTACAATAGAACGATGAAAGTAACGACGTTACTTTTGTCGTTACTTTCCAGTGTTTTATGAATAATATATCACTGAACGAGTGCAATTCAGCCATTCCTTGCACTTCCCAAGTCGTCCAGTCCGACATTTCCAGTGTTAATTTGGCCTTGCACAAACTTGTGAATACGTTCTTTCTCGCGAGTCACGACCCGAATATAGCCACGTGTAGATTTTATGAAAAAAATATCTAGTTATCTTTAAGCATGCGCTTGTACTTTGTGACTGAACACTTACATCTTAGTGTCTTGAGGCAATATCTATGTTGTGGTTTTTCTTATTTCTGTGCAAACGCTTTTTAATCGGGCGAGTCAACCGTGAAACAACAACACATGTGGAGGGCACTGCACGTGTCGCGCATTCTGATTAGCGCCACCACTCCGCACTGTGCATGTTTCATATTTTGATTTGCGCCTCTACTCTGGCGTGGAAACTTTTAAACACTAACTTCGAGAAGAAACTGCTGCTAAATTACAATATGAAGTAAAAAGCGTACTTCTTTAATTTTATGCAATAAAACGTTGTGAGGGGCGTTTTCTAGTTTTTTCTCATTTTTTTGTGTTATAGAAAAGTAACTGAAAAGTAACGTCGTTACTTTTTGAAAGTAACTGTAACGAGTTACTCTTTTGTTGCGGTAACTGTAACAATAACTTCGCTACTTTTTCTGAAAGTAACTCTAACTGTAACGAATTACTTTTTAAAAGTAACTTACCCAAGGCTGCCACCGGGAGCCAGCCCTACAACTGGGGTTCCATGTTTCACGGCAGTAGCTGTTAGTGCCCCTTCCTGGCAAAAAATGCTGGCGTACAAATGCAAAACCCCACTCTATGCCAGAGGTTTCTCTCCCCATCGTTCCTTGCACGTATGCGCCAACCGCGGCGAGGCTGTTGCTGTCCGTCTCCCCTTTCCCTTCTGTAGGTTGCCGCCGTTCCAAAAAACCCGCGTCATTGAGAGAGCGCTTTCCGCATCCCCGTTGTTCCTCCTACATCCCATCTCCATGACGACACGCTCCCTCACCTCCTCACTGCTGCCGCCCAGCTTCCATCCTCAGATCCCATTGCGAGCATTGTGGAGCACGCTGCCCAAAGGCGAATTTTCTTCAACATGCCTTTCCACGATGCAGCATCTTCCACCGTCAATCGCGGCACACTTTGCACCGTCGTTGTTTTTTTTTTGGGTTCACTTTTCTTCGAATTGGGGGGGTCTTTTTTCGAGGCTTCTCTGTCCCACACACTGAGCATCTTTTGGTGTTTATTTTGAGCCCTGCACAAGGACGGCTGTGGGGCTTATGTGGAAGAGAGATTCCCCAACAGCCAAAGAATGTCACCTGAACGTTTGGAAAATGTCCCGGTACCGAAAGAGAGGGAAACAAGACGAGGGGCCTTAGGAAGAAGCAGCCTCGAAACGGTTCAGTGCGGGCCGTGTTTACAGCAACAAATCAAACTGTCGACAAAAATCCCGCGTAGCTTTTTTTTTTTTTTTTTTTTTTTTTTTGTTTGAGCGCAGTTTTAAATTGGGGCTTTTTAGTTTTCCCCGACGTCGATAAAACTGCTCCGGGGATTACCCCGTGGGGTTTGTCAATACATACAGAAAGTGCGGAGCCCCACTCATAGTCGAGAACGGAACTGTCGCACCACTGCCATCCAGACCACACGCCGGCAGCATCGTAGCCCAGCGATAGAGAGCGTAGAATTTGATGGCGAATGCCTCCTGCGTAGGCCCAGTGCACATGCCCGTCGTTGCGCAGCGAGGATGACGGGGGGGTGGAGAGACGGGAGCGAGGCGGAGGTGCTCGCTGATGCTTTTGCATCCTCCTAGCACCTTGTAAACGGTAAACGACGCGACGAAGCAGTTGGACACGCTATGAAACGTAGGCGCAATACGCCGTAGTCCGGCAGCCCACTCACGGATGTCGTGGACCTTCGCTTCCTCGGGGCTGTGCTCCTGCTTGATGGACCTCCCTCGGAGGAGGTGCAGGCTGTGGGCATTCTTGCCTGGGAAGGGAATGGCGGGCGTCACGGCCCAAGGAACACGTCCAGCCTCGCTCGCTTTGCCAAAGAAGGGTCGTCCTTCCTCGCAAGTACTATGTCCCTATGCACGTTAGAGGCGTGGGAACGTAAGAATATCCGATTGCGAATCGAATACGCATATTAGAATTTGACCGAGAATTCCAGTCAAATATTTCCTAAAGCAAACGTTTTACATTTAATGCGAACTGACTGCATTACTTTAAGAAGTCGCGATGGACATCTAGAAAGGATTCCTAAGAAAAGTGAGTGCTGCTACGCGACAAACATTTAACAGATTTGTCTTAAGAAAACAAAGTCCCCGATGAGTTGGGTAAACGTAACTTGGAAAGCAAAGCAATGACAACCTCATTTATTTGAATATAGCTCGAGGTTTTCTTTACCAGCCCTTTAAATAATGGGGTGTAACTGTAGGTAATGCAAGAAAAGGCCGACCTACGATCAGAGCAAAGTTGCAGCCAAAGCAACTAAGCACCACCACAGTCCTTTAATATGGTTACGAAACCTCAGCGAAAGCTGGGTAGAGGGTCGATGGCTGCCACTAGGGGCGTCCCAGAGGAGGTACTTTCATTTGGCCTCCCCACTCTCCAGTGAGCCACCCCAAATTTTCAATTACAACAAGTTTTCAAAACAATTTCTCCTACAATTAAATTTTGTTATGCCCATATTTGATAACTGTATGCAAGCACCGGCCATTCTTTATTGACCTTGAACCAGAGAACTTACAAATAAGGGTCATTCCATCTCGAACGACCAAGACATTACACTCCACCATTTGTGATTTTTAAAAGAAAATGCGTAGCTTTTTACTGCAAGGCCCTTGACCTTTCCCTAAAATATTTTCGCCGAGAATTTTCTTAAGTTATCCCGCAAGCGTGGTTCAAGTTTTTAAAATGGGCATAAAACTAGGCTTCAACAATAATTCAGTAAAAATGATATTTTCTTCAAATGCTTCACAATTTGTGTTATGAAATTCAAATGGCTTTTAGCTTGCAATGTTCTTGTGATTTAAGCAATTTTCATTGTTAAAATAGTTTAAAAAAATTCAAAGTACACGAAAATTACTACATTTCTCAATTTTTTAAAATTTGATTATAGCTTTGTGCCCAGTGATTACAACTTTTTGTTAGAAGCCCTGCAGACGCATTACAGATGAAAAAATGTCTGAAGCTGTACAACAACACTCCACAGACAAAAACAATTCTAAAGTTGTAAAAAAGTCAGTTTTGGTGCCTAAACAGCCGTCTATTCTACCCTGAGGTGGTACAAGTAAAAATACGAAACATAACGGCTTTATAAGAAGAGTTTGTCTTCCATTTCTGAAAGTTTTATAAAACAATTTTTGGCTAACTTGAGAAAAAAATATTTAAGTTGAGCTCTCACGTCGCAACCCGGGCTGGTTTCTTAGCTCCTCTTCACCACACAGCACACCACTGTCGACATTGTAGCCGGAATAAATGCATAATTGTTTGTCTTGACCAGAGTGTCTATTTCAGGTAGATGCAAAAAAGTTGTGTTGTCATAGAGTTATTCATGGGAAAAGGCTTGCTTCTGCTTCTGTGGCTCTCCCAGTGATGCGATTGGCCTAAGACATTTTGGAGCACCTTTCGGAGCAGCCAAAACAGTGTTTTGGAGCAACAAAAGTGGCCTTTGGAGCAACCAAAACTGTGTTTCAAAGCACCAAAAGTGGCTTTCGGAGCACCCAAGGCAGTGTTTCGGAGAAGCAAAAGTGGCTTTTGGAGCAGATATTCTTAGAAAAATAAAAATATTAGTTTTAAGTGCTGGACAAACGAAGGGCACTTCGTGTTGCGTTGTGTTCTGATGTACCGTGTTGCGACAGAACTTGCTGCTTGCGTTTTTACTGCCGAGACATCTTACAAGTGTACAGTGCTGTAGGCGTTGTCAAGCAATTCTGAAAAACCGCTTGCCACTGTTTTAAGGGTTCCCGGCGTGAACTTTCGTCAAAAGTAAGCGAACGTAAAACAATGTATTGCAAACGTCCCGGCTGGTGGCTCTGTCGTGCCGTCATGTTCGCATGCACGTGAGGGCAACTTCGGCAGGCTTGCAGATGCGCGTGCTTCGTTGCACGAGCTGAAACAACGGCTGTTCAATCGAAACCTAAACCATGCCACTCCGCTCCGCCGCCAACTGATTTCCAAAATTAAATGCAAAATGTAACTGTCGAGCATACGACAAAAAACAGTCCAGCGGCGTGTGCTTGCCAGGCCGGCAAACAAGGTACAAGCTAAACATACAAAAAAATTAAAAAAGAGTACCTGAGCTATCGATGCAAGACATTGCTAGCCAGGGTCAAAAAGTTCTTAGAGTGCTTTGTGCAACGAGTGAACTTGAGACAAACAAGCGCGCTGTGTGAAATCAGCGTGCAGACAATGCCTTCTTTTCTTTAGCTCACCTCTCTTCACCCACTTTCTTTCGCGGCAGATTTTTCACGTACCGGGGTCCCTCTTGAAAGAATGCCCACAGAGAGAAACCTAGGCAATTGATACTTCAGCACAGCAGTCTTTGAGTTAAAGAGGGACTCTTGTAGTAGCGTATGATTTAAACAAGAACAGGAATGTTTATGAACATGCGGTGGTGACAAATTGCAATGCGGGAGCTCAATTTAAATATTTTTTGTCTCGATTTAGACAAAAATCATTTTGATTAAACTTCCAGAAATGAAAGACAATAAACTCTTCTTATAAAGCCGTTATGTTTCCTATTTTTATTTGGACCACCTCAGGGTAGAATTTATGTTTTATGCAGCAAAACAGACCTTTTTACAACTTTAGAATTTTTTGCCCTTGTAAAGATTTTGTTGTACAGCTTCAAACATTTTTAATTAGTAGTGCATCTACAGGGTGTCCAACAAAAAGTTTTATTTGCCAGGTGCAGTGATGGAAGTGCCATTTTACCTTTTGGAGCAGGCCTTGTAGCAGGCAAAATGTTATTTTGGAGCAGGTAGTGGCCCTTTTGGAGCAGGGTCCGGCATATGTTGGCATATTACTTGAAAATGAAATATCTCTATTATTGGAACACAGCGCCTTTCGCCTTTTTAAGACAGGATATATAAAATTCAAAGTAAACACAATATATTTTTTTTTTTTTTAAATAAAGTTTATTTGCTTGTCAGATAAAAAAATACAATTCAATATGTCACACTGAGTCCTGATGGTACAGGATATTTAGTTTTATCAGCCTGCGCTTTTTTTAAGGTATCTGCAGCAGCATTTAACGACCCTCACTGTTGTGGAATGTTTTAGTTCAGATTAGCGTTGTCTTTTGGGCAGCAGCTTGAAATACTGTGGTATCTGATATTCGTTTCAAAAATTCCGATTCATTTTCGATGTGCTGGCGAAGTCACGATCGGATCACTGCGAGTTAACCCGTTGAGTGCGCTCCTTAGCATGCACCGACGCGCTGCAGAGAAGCGACACCCGCGGAGCAGACACCGCAGTCGCGCGAGTCGCGCAATGCTTTGTGCTCCGAAAAGGACAGTGGAGCTTTACCAGCACTACATCCAGAGTTTGGTGCAACTCAACTATACTTCGTTTCAGCTTCGGTGCGAGCGCAGCCGAAGCTACAAGCGCGCGCATGGAGCCCTTAACGGTGCCCACACTGCACGAGTCCACGCGCGAGTCAGGAATCCATAGAGCATTGGGCTCGCGCTAGCTTTGACTTCGCTGGTAACTGGCGCATGGGGACAGGGTGGGCCAACATTGAAAACATCCACAAGCTCAACCTTTTTTTGAAAAAACAAAAAAAAATAGGCTGCTCAGTGGGATGGTTTTTTGCTTAGCCTCTGTGGCTTTGGTCTCAGATGTTGCTAACATTGTTCCTTCCAATGATGATGATGATAATGAGCCCTCGCAGTTTCGGTTTGCGTAACAGTTCCGGCGCGGAAAATACCGCGGTACCGCCACGCGCTCGGATAAGACTTTAATTTTTATTTTTTATTGCTACATCTCATCTCGGCGCAGGCATGGTGCAATTCTTCGGTAAAATGACAATTTGGCGCTACATGCAGCAGGATTGCGTCCTTGGCGCAATTTGGCGCAGCACTTCCATCACTGCATGTGCAAAGTGATAATGAAACAAAAAATTGCAAAATGTGCTAATGTTCGTGCATTTTATTATTTTTTTTTTTTTACATTTGAACACTAGAAATGTTATAATCATCACAGTGTAGCAAGCTAAAAGCCGTTTGAATTTAGAAGCATTGAACGAACATAACGAAGAAAAGTTGTCACCTTACTTCCATTCGGTCTCGTTTCGGCACGTCCGCTTCCACGACATTCTGGCGGCTTCATATTCCTAACTAGGTGCCTTGCGGAGGAGCTCCGTAAGGCTTTTTTGTCGGGCGATGATCTCTCGTCCTCCAAATCTAATTCCGAAAGGCGTCGGAACTCTGAATGGTTCTCCCAATGGCACTTTGGCCAGAGCGGCTGGTACGTGAAGTGAGCATCACATCCACGGAGTGTCCGATTTGAAAACTATAACTAGCCCATCAAAGTGAAACACCGCACGAATACATGGTTTATAGTTTGCCAAAGATGTAACAAATATCATCACCTGCCGCAGATTGTGCGGTCTCGTGTTTTGGCAAAAATTTTCGAACGCATAATCGTTGCCGTACACGTACGGCGACGACCGTCGAAGGATTTTAACTCGACTACGACGTCACTTTGAAATATAATGCGAATGAAACACTCACAGAGCAGTCTGACGTCTGCCTCGGTGACAAAATCTTGAGGCTGCGTCGAAATGTAGAAAAGCCGAGCATTACGGTAAAACTGAATCAGAGCCGACGTCGCTGGCAACAATGGCACCAGAACTTGGCCTCACCTTCCCCAGGTTCGTGAGGAGTTGCTGAACCCTCGTGTACACCGCCAGGACGTCCTTTTCGGATTCCTCGTGGTACCTGGAGAAGGAAGCAGAAGGCCATAGCCGCCATTGTACAGGAGCCTCGTTCCAGCGACTTCGCTGGGAGCTTTCGGGTCTCGAAGCGGCAGCTAAAATTTTGCGAAGGAGCCACTTTATGGAGGATTCTTTTCACGCAATTATCACGCCCGGTAGCACAAAGACAAGAATAAGGACGGCGTTCGTGGCAACTGCGTTCCAAACAGCAGCTGGTCCAGACCCGACGTCGGATCCGAAAAATTGAAGAAGCAGATGCACGCGTCAAATCGACAAAATCGTCGCTTCGTTGGTTTTGACCTTTGTGTCGCAAACTGTACAGCAGGTCGCTGTGGGCAAGGCTATTCCCAGTGTTAGCTCGTCCAGCCTCCCCATCCATAGGGAGGTATTGTAATTCTGACAAGTTGAATACCAAAATTTAGAAGGTAATGCAAACCGAGTAAACGAAGTGTCGAAAAATATTTGCGTATGACGAAACATACTGCAATCGTTTGAGTGACAAGACATCTCGCATGCCACTTCTGCTTGTAATTCAACAGGTTAATGAAGACAATTGCATTTGTTTTAAAACCAAACTGATGTGAAATTTGTGCTGCCGTGCCCATGAGTGTTTCTTTCCTGTGCCTTGGAGCGTCGAGATAATTTACTCCCGCTACTATCTGGTGATATCGAGCTAAACCCAGATCCTGCGATAGAACTCAAAGAAATGATAAATCACATTCTCGAAAACCAGCAACAAATGAGCACTGAAATTAAAGGAGAGAAAAGCAGATTCCATCCAAACAGAGACAGGGCGAATTGACTGATAAGATCACCCGCCTTAGAACAGCCCTAGACGCCCTCCACAAAAGCAACCAAAATATAATACATCGACGGGGAAGAGTTCAAAGGTTTGAAGAATTGGTTTACCTCCAACGGGAAAAGATAGTGGATCTAAAAGACAGTAGTAGACAAAATAATCTGAAACGCAAACTGAAACAGATAAAGACTTGAAAACTAAGGTAACTGATGGCATTTTCCAACAACAGCTAGATGTGAGTGTCAAAACAGTTGAAAGTTGCGTTACGAAAGCTTATGGCACAAGTCACCGGAACATCTGTGCTTCATACGAAGCATGGCTATCGGTTCAAAGAGACAGCCTGGCACCTGACATTAGAGACACAAATCTTTTGGTGACTTATACGTAACATAAGACAATGTCAGAAAGAATGCTGCATGAACGAGCCTTCAGGAAATGAGGGAAGAACAGACAACATGCTCTGCATTAGTTGGCTTTATGCTCAGTATCAAGGTCAGTTATAATTCCTTCTTTTGTCTTTTTATGCAGCAAGAAGGTGGGGAAGGGGAGAATAGGGTGCGCGGGGCCATCAGAATGCCGAGGTCTGGCTGGAACGATTAGCGGGCAAAGCAAAAGCTAGCAGTTCCTGTATCCTCTGTATTCACGAAACGCGTTTGAACGTGGGATGCTGGCATCCGGCATTTGACTTTTGCACTCAAACGCGTTCGACAAGTGCAGCGTGGACAAAGGCTTTAGTTCTGCCCAATAATCATTTAAATCAGAGCTCGGTATTCTGACGTCCCCTCTCGTCTCCCTCACTTTCTCGGCACATTGCCATTGTCTTCCGCTTAAAGTTCTCCCCGTCTTCCTCTTCGTATCCACTTTTTCTCCTTGCGACACTCGTGGCAAGCTCGTAAATTGCCACGAGCTTGAAACGTTCGTAAGCGGTCTCGTTCCAAGGCATTATGGAGCGGTGACAAGCCGCTGCAGCTGATCGACCTCCATGACACGTGACACGTGCGGGGGCGGACGTATTGGTTGGCAAAGTAGGTGGCGGGTGGCAGACAAATTAAAAAGGGCGACTCTAAGCGAGTTTGCGGTATATCAAACTTGCAATAAAACGAATGGAGACCTCAGAAAGAAGGACGAAGGAGACGCGGACCAACGATGACTAGAACGTATACCGCAATATCCTGAGTCAGCGCCCACCTCACCTTTTGGGCCAATATCGATTTCCAAAAAAAACACAAGAGTCCTCGCCCACCCCTTCAAATACCCCAAGGCGGACCGTGCGATCCATCCACGAACATTCATCCTACCCGAATGACGGGGCCGCGGGCCTTACAGTTGGAGGACGTCCGTGGCAAAGTAAAACGAAGGAGTATGCCAATCGGCGTTGTTCATTGCACGTATGCAAGCAACGGACTTTGTGAGAGTAAAACATTCTTTCATGAGCATCTTTTGTAAAAAAAAAAACAATAACACTAATTCGAGTTTTGATTTTAATGTATCTCATGTGTAGCCGCACTAGATACGCACAAAAAAAAATAGCCACTTTTTTTTCCGCTTTTTTTAAAATCTTTTTGTGCCGACCCACCGAGACACGGCCCACCCCATTTTTTTTATGAATTTCAGGTGGCAGGGGGCGGGTGGTGACTCGAGATATTACGGTAGATAGGACAAGACATAAAAAACAGAAAATCGTCGAAGACGTCCCGACATATTTGTTGCAGGTGCGTCCCTCCGCATGTCCGTAGGAAATTCCAGCGTGGAACGTCACGCTTGAAACTCTTAAAAAAATTACCCACTCGTTGTGGAGTCTCAACTTCCGCACTCGTCGTCGTTTGATGCCATCGTAGATGGTTGTAACATGGAGCTAGTACAAGGTGTTACCAAAGTCTGGTAACCCACCCGAAATTTGCCCGAAACAGGGTTGCAGAAATACGTGCAAATTAGCGGATGCCGGAGGGGCACCTTCGGAGGCTGCTTAGGACGGCAAAATGCCGACTTCACCTCTGGGCACGAGGCCTCTCCCGACCTCCACTGGAGGCGGCTGGATCGCAGATCGAGGCTAGTCTTACCGGGACAGAGCAGCACCACCGGCAGTCATCGCTCGACAGTCAAAACCAGCTAATGTGTGGGACTCTGACAGACGGAGAAACTGCTATTTCTTACCTTATTTTGAACGATGAAAGTTTTATCGGGTTTTCCGGAAATCCGAATATCTTTTCCGAATATCCTGGGAGAAAATATCAAAAGAGCTAGAATATTAATCTTTACTAAATCAATGTTTTGCGGATGAGGGTTGCGACTTTGTTGGGCGTGAACTGGGATACGGTTCAGTGTGACGAGGGTGGCCGAGAGTCAATCTGGAGTTGTTCATGATCTGAAAGTCATGAGAGCTTAGCAGACGATAAGTTAGAAGGCCTTTACTGGGGACATTCGCGTCGTTTCAAGCGCTTCTACAGAGTACTTCTGGTGCAAGCTTTTGCTTTGAACTGCAGTGAGGGCTTCTGGGATGAACAAATATTGGAGTGTGTCATTCATTTGTTGAATGTGTTATTTATTGAGAGACTAAAGCAAGCGATGCCACCCTAGTCGGCCGTGCTCCGGCACATTTGATTTTTTAAATCTGCGTTCGAACGCTCGACGAATAACGACTTGACCCCCAAACACCCGATATAATGATCGCGGCGGATAATAAAATACTCACCTTCGAGCACTGCGTACAAGCTTCAGTATTTCTACTTTCATGCGTTTCTCCTATAGACTCGCGTGTGTTGCCCGGCGTCGAGCAATGGCCGCCGGTGGTGCAACTGACAAGCTCCCGATCTGCTATTCAGTCTACTGCAATTCTAGATTTCAGTGAGCGAGACGCCGGTGCCACGGCATCTTTTTTGACCGCGGAAGTACATACAGGGCGTGTTATTTTTAAACCGGAAAACATTTTGAATAGAAGAATGCTGTAAATAAAGAAACAATTCCTTCGCGATAACATTATCCACGGTGGCAGATGCCAGATAGAAAGTGTAAAGCGATAATTAGCAAATTAATTATTTAACATCCACAAATGACCTTTTAAAATATTTGCTTCGGCTGGCACACTTCAATCATAACTTTGTTGCCAGTCGTCAAAATAATGCTGCGGCAGTTGTTCAGGCAAGTAGACTCTGCCCTGCGCTATTCTTTGGTGGGCTGTGTCCTCTCAGCCATACCAAAACTGACAAAGAAAGAGTGGAAAAAGTGCTTGAGGAGGCAGCAGCTTAGGATGCACCTAAGACCTCCTCATCTGCTCGCGCTGACTCGCTACCCGCGACTACTGTGAAGACTGACGTCGCTTCCAGGTAGGACTTCTGCCATTCAATTGGCGTCTAATTTCAGTATCTCAACACTTGCGGCTTACATTCGACAAAAATTAATCTGAAGCAGGATTTAGTGGTTTTAATTCCAACAACTGCTTCCGCATATCTTGACGACGGTCAATGCATCTCTAATTGGAACGTGCCAACTACAATTATTATTTCGAGTTAATTAGCAGATTTTAGGGAATAAATTTGCTAATTGTCACTTTATGCTCGTAATCCAATGTCTACCACAGTCGACGACATACTTCCGACGCAATTATTTCTTCACCTCCGGCTTTCCTTTTCTTGCGGATATTTGGTCCCTACGCCCGTTGGAAAATGGGCGGAGGGACCAGACTACTTCGCAAGTTTTCTGGTCCCATTTTCTCAGGCAGAAAGCTGCTTCCTGCATGCAAAAAATTAGACCAAAAAACTCAAAATTTCTTGAGGTAAAATGCACCATTGAGATACACCTTTAGGGAAACTACAAGTCACCCTGCGCGAGCGTCGATTTTGAAGGCTGATTTTGGAGGCAGCCTCGTAATGTCTTAGAACACCGTCCCCCGTATACAGTAAAGGACTTAATTCTCGGGAGGATCCGATTTTCGCAAATTTCCCTATGGCAGCAAATACATAGCATACCACCCTGGTTTGCAAAACATTTGTGCCCCCAAAATATTCCTAAATGTCGCGCTTCACCGAATTTACGAAACATGGAGCCCACGAAAACAGTCGTTTACGGTATAGTGCAGGAATTCCAAATCTTTTCAGATTCGCGAAACCTCCAGACTCTGAGAACCTCGAGCGACTCCGAGCGCTTCAAAGTTTGCCGCCGACGGCCGCGGAGAAGTCGGCGAGAGCACTCACACGCCAAGGAGCTGGACGTATCTTGCCGTGTCCGCCGTCATGTCCGGGAGGGTCCCCCTGACCGGCAGCAGCCCTAAGCGCGCGGGGAGAGACGGACGTTGTCGCACGTGCCGGCAGACAACGCGACTTCCTAATCCAAAGGCCGGCTCGCACGCTCGCGTCCAGTCAAAACGGAGGGCTTCGCGCAGCCCTCGCTTACAAGAGAGCATGCACCGCCCGTCGGATGGCCAACTACCATTTGCCTACACGTCTCACCATTTTTCTGCACCATTCTTTCGACGCGAGCTTGAAAATCTTGCCACGTTATAAATGACCGTTTCTCGTAGATATGTTTGATCTCGCAAATGGCGCGAAAACTTCGCTCTGGTTAAGTGCAGTTCCGAGGTACCTCACAAATGGCACCGGTACGTCTTCTCATCGTAAGGCCGCACCGTGCACTCGGCTGCGACCCGAGGCGAGCGTGCAGACCGGCCTTATCGAGAAATGGGAAGGCATTACCTCCTCCTTCGTTGTCGACGAAATCTTTCAGGGCCCGCAACAGTATCCAAAACGGCCCGCTCTAGAAACGTGAAAGAGAGAAAATTGTATGCATTAAAAATTTGCGCAAAACCACCGCGAGACGAAACGCCTCATTTTCCCACTTGCCTCAGAGCCCAGGTCGAGGCAGGCGGTGTCTTGGAACAGTCTAGTCACGTGCGGCGGCACCTGGAGAAAGGGTCGCGCTCGTTCCGACATGCATTCCTCTTGGAAAAAATGCTAGCCCTCAACAAAATGCTTGCCCTCGCAAATCCTCCTAGAGTGCCTCAAAACCGTCTTCGACCGGTGCCTTTGGCGTCTCGTCCTGCCCTCACGTATGAAGTGGTCTCGAAGAGGCGACGATTGACGTCGGAAAAGCCAGAGTGTTGCGCTGTCCGATAACGGCGTCTCGGCGGTTATTGCTAGAAGGACCGGTAAAAATTTAGTGGTCCCGCGTCAATCCACGGTACGGTTGCGGTGAAGTTGTTGTGCGTCGGCATCGCGTCTCTGCGCCTCGGGATGCATGAAAGCGTTCAAAACAAAATACGTCCAACCATTTTGCTCCCAACGCTTTCGTTTCTTTTTTGTTCCGGAACGCACCAAGGCACGTCTCTTGGCACAAGCTCACGGCATTGACGGTGCTACGACCGCACTTTCTTATCGGCCATTTTTATTTCTGGAGAGCTCACGCGGTGCACGTCGGGTACTACAAAAACCCGCGAGCATGGTAGGGTCATCCATGCCGCAGCGTAGCTTCGTGGCAACGCCCCCGATTTGCACGCAGCTTACCCGTGTTCCTTTCCTGCAGGCGCTAAGCAATCTTTTTCGAGGATTTGGCAACGTCAATGACGGACGCCACGCTATGCCAACTAAAACACTGACGACCACGACGACGACAACTACTACGCTATAACGTCGACGACGGACGTCATTTCCTTTGGTGCAAAGAGCCAGAAATGGCCATCACCGTAAAAGCGAGAGCAAACTCGCGTGTTGCCATGTTTACGGTGGTCCCAACTTCCCGCTGCCGAAGCTTCAGTGGACCCTGGAGCTGGAGAGCAATCCGCGGCGGAAGGGGCATCCGCCACGTCAACCGTTGCTGCTGCGACGCCGGCAGGACCACGGCCGGCAATGGCGCAACACCTTTACGATGTCGTCGGGCAGTCACCGAGGGACCGGCTTCTTGGACGAGGGGAAATGCACCGGTCGGAGAAGCGCGGAAGATGGCATACTTTCGGTAGCTACTGACGAGCCCCGAAAATAAACCCCCCAGCCGCTTTTAATAAAAATCGGGGATCGTTGAAACAAAACAGCTTAAGGGAAAACAGAGTGTATGGTTCTTCCGAATCTTCCCAGTTATCTGACGAAGAAAACACCAACGCACACATGCGCTGATACGCACGCAATCGCAGAGGTGCACGGGAAAGCTTCAAGAGGAGTTGACCGGAGTGTCAACCCTCAATTTAAGTACGAACCGCCTCAGCAAGCAGGCGTGGTGAGTCCGCTGCCCTCTTTTAGGCCACTGTAGCCTCATGCGTAAAGAAAGCTACGAAAACTTTTCCTGGCCAACACTCTGTCGAGAAGCTTCCGTCAAAACTCGTCTAGCACACCGTGCTCTGTCCCAGACATCCATCCAGCTTGTCATCCGGCAAGGACCCAACGAAGTTGGGCGAGACATTTTTTGCACCTGCGGTGTATGAAAGCGTTGCGCGAATGCCCAGGAACAAGGACACGGGCAAATGCACCTTCGTGAGCCAGGGACCGTTGTCGCTTCTACTCCGACCGTTCTCGAGCAAGACCACACTCGTGGCCTGGGATTAGTAAAGCTATTGGCCCTTTGCACCAAGCCTCTTGCAGTGCTCTGTCTCGTGCAACACTTAACAGCAACGCACAATTCTTTTTTGTATTAATGCGATAGCACCATGACCATAGCGACAAACGTCGCATTAGCCCTTGGATGATGGTGCCACTGTGCAGTCATTAAAGGGACCATAAAATGATTTTCCAGCTTTCCCCAAATGAAGACCCCAATTAATGTTGAGTGTTCATGAAGCCCAGAGCAGAAATCCGTTTTCGTTTCATTGCCTCCAGTTTTTCACAAAAAAAAGAAGAAAACTCACGTCTGCTTTCCTCCTCGACTCGACTGGATTCAGCCAGCAACATGTGAAATCACGTGGCAGTAACATTGTAAGGTATGGGTTTGTCCGACAAGACTCGGTGAGCGTTACCACACACAGCCACTGAGTGGAGGAGGAGAAAGAAGCAGTGCGGGGTTGCTGCTGGTACCGGCGGTAGGAATGAGTAAGCATGATTTACGGGTGTCATAGAATAAAGTGTTTCAAAGACGTCAGAACCTGACAATTGGGGGCTCGTCCGGGATAAAAGACATCTCATCGACCCCTTTTCGTGCTATCGGACTTTCTCCGTACGATGATGCAGAAACAAATGGTTTAGCGCTCCATTGGGAACAGACCGCTGCCCCCCTTCATGAGCTCTTGATTGCACTGCCCATCAAGCCTACAGAAAGTTAGCTCGACCCTGAGCTGCCTTAGCTCTTGCAGCCCTTATTACCTCTCCGCCGGCAACGCCAGCCGTCACTGCAACCAACGGTGCACCCGATCAAGATCCCATGCATGCCCTGTGGATCTCCGCCCAAACTCCCAGGTTCTCTGGCGTTGGAGATCTACAGTCACCAGAAGGGTTCATAGAGAAGCTCGAGAGTTACTGCCTAATTCACGGTGTCAAGCCAGAGGATCGCATCAGCCGTGTCGTTCCCGCAGTCCTCGACAGAAGTGCTAAGCTGTGGCTTTGCTTCGCAGAAGTTCACAAGCCGGGCAGCTTCGTCACCGCGTTCCAGAGTCAATTTGTGCCAGTGCACAAGAAGAAGCGAATGAAAGAAGAGGTGCGGAAACGAACTCAACACCCCGAGGAAACCCTGAAGCAGCTCATATAAGTCATGAGCAGTTACTACGACAGGATTGGCGAGCCAATGACAGATGCGAAGAAGGTGGAGAGGGTACCCTGACAGATGCACCCACAGTACCAGGGTACTAGCAGAGTTGGGCAGAGCTCAGTGGTTCACAAGCTTTGACCTGTCCTGATGCTTCCTCCAGATTCCTGTCCACCATGAGGATATCCCCAAGACTGCATTTATATACCACCAGGGTACATTTTAATTCAAAAGGACGCCCTTCGGTGTGGCTGGTGGCCCAGCCACATTCCAAACTCTCATGGACAAGGTACTTGTGGGAATCAAGCACCAATTTTGTATGGCCTTCTTTGATGATGTCTTAATATACTCCAGTTCATTTGAAGATCATTTGCGGCACATTAAAGTGGTCTTGCCTAGGATCGCCCATGCTGAACTTACCATCAATCAGACAAAGACGCATGCCTGCAGGCAGTTGCTCAAGTTTCTAGGGCACATAATTTCACCAGGAGAGTACAGGCCTGATTCGGATAAAGTTGCAGCTGTAAGCGCCTTCCCAACCCTACAAAGTGTCAAGGACATTCGAGCCTTTGTTGGATTGGCTGGGTACTACCGGTTTTTCCTGCCAAAGTTCTCTGAAGTGGCCCGACCTTTGACCATTCTTCTACAGAAGAGTGTATCCTGGCGTTGGAGCAACCAGCAAGAAATGGCATTTCAGCAGCTCAAAACCATGCTGGCAGACGAGGTGGTGGCTGCACTCCCTGATCTCCCCCGACGGCCCATGATGGAGACCGACGCAGGTGGCATCGCAGCAGCCCTCTGGCAGAAACCAAAGCAACAAATGTGACCAGTGTCATTTATTAGTTGATCCCTGAACAGAGCTGGAAGGAACTACACCGTGCAAAAATGGGAGTGTTTGGCTGTAGTCTGGGCCATTGACAAGTTCAGGCCATATTTTGAACATACCAAGTTTGAGGCACACACCGACAGTGCTTCTCTCCAGCGGATGATCACCACAGAACTGACTTCAAGCAGGGTATGTCGATGGACACTACACTTGCAGGGTTTCGATTGCCTCATCAGACACCGTCAAGGAGCAGCAAACATCCTAGCTAATGCTTTGAGCAGGTTCCCCGCTCCAGTCCCGGTGTCCAGTGCAGTCAGAAGCACTGGACACCGAAACCGACCGACAGTTCTCCATAGAGACTGTGGAGCAAGAGCACCGACTACGATTCGAGGAAAATGCCATAGTGGAGGAGACAAACATTTCACCCCAGCTAGCCAGTGAACAGCAAAAAGATCCTGAAATCTCCGAGGTGAATTGCTACCTCCAAGGCTGAACGCCACCGATTGACGAAACAGAGGCACGTCGAATACAACATGTTTCTGAGGGCAGTGAAATCGACCATGACGGACAGTTACTTAAAGTTTCAGGGGAAAGAAACCTGATATGGGTTCCAAAACAGATATGCCAGATAGTGCTGCAGTTGTCACACTATAACACTTGAAGTGGACACTTAGGGTACTTCAAGACTCTGAAGCGGGTTGCCGAGAGGTATTTTTGGATGGGTATGAGGTCCGACGTTTCACGTTACGTGCGATCCTGCCCATCCTGTCAGACTCTGAAGCCTCACCGTCAAAAGCCAGAAGGACTAATGGACAGTACCTGGGCGGAGGAACCTATGGCAGAGCTGAGCGCAGACATCATTGGGCCACTGCCTAGATAAAAACATCATCACAGACATCTCCCAATGGTCATTGACAAGTTGACAAAGTTTGAACTATTTTCACTTTGAGCCCCGACCAGCAAGGGCATTCTGGAAAAAAAATTTAAGCTGTTTTGTCGGCGTGACTTTCCAAAAAGCATATCCAGTGACAATGGAAGTGTCTTCGTTTTCCGCCTGTGGAGGGACGTCATGAAGCGCCTTGTCATCAAAGACCGCCCACACGGAACTGTACCGCCCTGCAGGGCAGATTGTAGAGTGGCACAGTGCAACAGTAAAGCAGTGCCCAAGGCATACTGTAATGACCATCGTGACTGGGACCAATGTATCCCTGAAGTTTCATTTGCAATGCGAAAGCATGACCACAGGGTACAAGCCAGTTTTTCTTTGCTATGGGTGTCAACTCCGCAAGCCACGGCAGCAAAACCCCGGTCAACTTCCTACACCAGACAGCCGAGCTCCAGGCTTCGTGGCAGAGGCGACATCTAGGCTGCAAGACGCGCACGCGCTTGCGCTAGAGAACCAGAGAACAGCCCAAGAGCAGCAGCGCCGCTACTACAACAGAAATCAACAACAGTGCAAGTTTAGGATTGGTGACCTTATGCTCCGTGACCAGCAAACTCTGAACGGGGGTGCGGCGGAAAAATTGGCATCGAGACACTTTGGGCCATTCGAGGTGATGAAGAAAGTGGGGTTGAACGACTATCGCTTGAAGGACCGCAACACTGGAAGACCAGCTGGACTGGCACATACTGACCAGCTGCTGAAGTTTTATGAAGAGCAGCTGAACATTTAATCTGTGGGGGAACGATTGTAAGGTAAGGGTTTGTCCGACGAGACGCGGCAAGCGTTGCCATGCACAGCCGCCGAGTGGAGAAAGAGGGAGAAGCAGCGCGAGATTGTTGTTGGCTCCGGCGGTTGGAATGAGCGGGCATGACTTACGGCTGCCATAAATAATGTGTTTCATAGACGTTGGAACTTCACAACGTAAAGCATGCCTTTCTACCGGAAACGGAAGTTCCCCCAGCGAGGAAGCCGCATCCGTCAAGCGGTTGCGTCAAAACATTTTTGCGTCGACGTTTCGACGCAAGGACGTCACCTACCGGGGTTTCCACGAACGCCGGTTTGCTTCGTAGGACTTGGTCCGCGATGCTTGTGCCACCAATGCCATTGCTATAGATAGGTCGCAACTGAGCAAGCTTAAAATGTTTTGGTATAGGGAAAGTATGGGCCTTGTTCAGTACGCCGGAATGCGACAAAATGAGAACTCGCCCAACGAAGGCTGTAGCAGTTCGGCGGTGGCTGCGGAGGAGTGGCAATTACTCGGTACAGAATGGTAGGTTCACACTTCGGCTGCGAACACAAAAAGCTAGGAACAAAGTAATATAAAGCCTTAATGAAGTTCTTCGTGGAAAAACCTCTCGTGCTCTCGTTGACACTTTGACTTGTGCAACCGGATATTGAACTCTGTCATTTCCGCCGAAGGTATCCAAAGACAATTTCATTGTTTGCGAGTACAGTTTGAGTGGCACAGTATAGTCAAACCCGTTTATAACGAACAGCAGGAAATGCTACGATCAGTTTGATATAGCAAGTAGTTCGATATAGCAAAAACCATTTACAACGAACTTCCACAATTCGTTCGTTTTAAGGTAAGAGCTTCTCTTTTTCATCTCTTCACCTCCGCCTTTTAACACGTACCGCGCTGTAAAGTTTTTTGTTTTTTTTGCATGCGTGCCGAGTTTTTTTGTTGAGCTTGTCTTCCCGTTTGAGTCGCTTCTCTTCGTGAGCAGACGCTTTGGGATTAAAAGTGTCTTTTTCTGTGCGTGTGTGCAGAGTGTATTTTTTAGCTTTCTCCCCTTCTGAATCGCTTCTCTTCGTTCAATTTTGTTCGCAACTTGAACTTTTGGAATTTTCTTTCTTACCTACTTCTTCCTTTGGGGAAGAGACAGGCTAGAAGAGGATTGTTTGTGCGTCTTTGGAAGCCTTCCTGGAGGGAAAAAGTTCGATATAGCCAATTTGTTGTTCGTTATAAAAAGTACTTTTTACATCCATTTTTATTTAAATTTTCCGTGAGTTCGTTATCTACAATAATTCGCTGTATGGGGGTTCGTTCTAAGCGGGTTTCACTGTACTTGTATCTAATACGGAAGCTAAATTCAGTCGACATGCTCGAAAAAAAGGAAAGAAAAGACTCAGACACTACGGATGTTGCGGTTACTTTGCTAGGTGGTGCAAGCTACCGCCCATTACAGAAATTTCCTCCGCATCTCATTGATTAATCCACCCATTCATAGTCAGCTTTGTTGTTAGCATTCGAAAGAGAGAATGTAAAATGTCTGCTTTTATTTGCCAGAAATAAGAATTTAGAATTCCTAATCTCACATGCTAGTTTTCTTTTGATCCCATAAACAATGTGCAGTCAGTAAATTTCTGCCTTAAATCGTTTCATGGTCCCTTTTTGTCTATCCTCGCTGTCCCTCGTCTCCCCCTCCGTGTGAATGCGATTGGGAGGCGGACGATCCGCGGATGTGCACGATCAATCCATCCACGAATCGGTCTGTCATGTAATTGGCCGTGAGCGCTATGTCGGCGGCTTTTTGGACGTAAGAACCGGGAAAGCAAACGTACTATACTTCGTTTCAGCTTCGGTCCAGACGCAGCCGATGCTACAAGCGCGAGCATGTTGTCCAGAACAGCGGTTGCACTGCACGAGCGCGCGTGCTTGGCAGGGATGCTGAAAGCCCGGAGCTCGCGCTTGTAGCTTTGGCCGCGTCTGGACCGAAGCTGAAACGAAGTATAAGCGGGAAATTAATATGTGCGTTCTTATGGGAGCCCGGCGGGACCAGCGCCTTTGAACATAAAAGCCGGGAATGTATCAACGAGATTTCACTGTATGCTGGTGTTTTCGTACAGATCCAGGTCTCTAAGTGTTCCCAGTGAAAAACAAAGCTTTCTAGCCAAACCTCGGTTCCAAGATAGCACACTGTCAGAGCCAGGCTTCTAGGAAAGCAATCAAAGATCAATCAAAATCAACTGTCGGCCTTTGACACCTACCCGTGTAGGGCAGAGGGATTTATTCACGGCCCTGACTGCTTCTTCAAAGTTTTCTTCTCCGTCAACAGCCCCGTTCTCTGCCACCCTTACACCTGGAAATCGCACCAGACAAAACCATGTGCCAGTCAGATTACATCCACCACACTCGCCAAGTTCAGTAGCAAACCAAAATTAGTGCAAATGAGCGTGCTACACCAAAACACAACTAAGAGATAGCTAAAGGTTGTTCCTTTTTGAAATCGGCGACCAAAAGCGAAAGGACCTTAGCATCAGATGGTTCTCACAGGTGTTCTTTCCATGGTGGTTGGTAGAGCAGAATGACTCCCTCGTATAGCAATTTTCCATCCCTGGGCTTTTCAAGTAACAAAGTCACAAACCTCTCTTGATCAGCGTCCTCAACTCCTCCTTCTCAGCAGAGGTGGTAGGCAGCCTGTCTCCATTCTGGAAGAGAAAAAAACCAGTCACCTCAATTCAAACTTGTTTTTGGGCTGGTTGGTCCATCCTAATTGAGAAGTTTAAAAAACACAAACAAAACGAGGACAGAAGCTTCATTCGATTTATTTGCACCTCCTGCACCGGTGCAGAAAAGGGTAGGACAGTGTACTTTCACTATGTGCATCGAGATATACGACCTGAAGTACACCACCCTGCGCTTTTCTGCACCGGTGCAGGAAGTGCGGGTAAATCGAACCAAGCTAAAGAAGACAATGGGACAGGCGCTAACTCTCAGCTGAATTTCATTGGAAGTCGTCATCACATATATACACAAACTTCACAAGCAATCAACACTCCTACAAACAGCCATACAGAAACATTGCTTCTTTCTGAAGTAAATAAATAGATGGTGCACAAATCCAATCATCATCAGTGTTTTTGATATAAAACATCTCAATAATATCTCGGTTTTATCCTTTTTTTTTTTAAATACTGTCGATTTCACGTTAGGTCTGCGGCCACATTGCTTACGGTGGTTGGCAAGATGCCCCCTCCCCTCCGCATTGTTGCGCACTTGGAACACCTTATCTTTGCTTACCTTTTTCTTTTGCCATTATTGTTATGCCCTTTTCCTTCTTTTTTTTGCCTTTTGTTCTTTTTTTGTTTTAGTGAGCTTTCTTTTCTGTTGCTTGCTTAGCATTTTTCTATGGATCAAAAGATTTTTTCTATGCATCTTGCTTTTCATATTAAGGTATTTAGTGCACAAGGTAGAGGGAAGAAGGACAGGGCAAAAAAGAGCATGGCTCACAACTATGTTTACTGACAAAAAAGGTAGAGAAAGAAAAAATAATCTGCCGCAGACTCGTGCATCTATCACCAGCTCCGTGAATGATAGTGGCTCGTTCATCCAGGCCCGTGTGGGCTCTTCATTGTTTGTTCAAGGAATTCCCTTTCCTTGTTTGACAGTGTTACGGATTCAACGCTAATACAGTTCCTGTTCTCACGGAGGATTTAGAAGGCCTCCAATACCTCGCGGGTTTATCTGTCCTCCCCAAGATGTTGGTCTGGCCGAATAATGGTCTGCACGTGCACTCCCTGCAATGGAGTGGAAGATTTCCACCCACTGTAGCCTTCAAAGAGCAATCATGCTCCCGGAGTCTGTCATTGAGGCATCTGCCCGTTTGGCCTATGTAGCTCTTGCCACACGAAAGAGGTTTTATGACGCCCCAAGTGCACGGAAGGGATTTGTTTGCATGCTTCTTGGTGCACCTGTGTTTTGTGGTACACTCAGCATGTGCGTTCCCTCTAGGGCAAATTTGGCTCATTTTTTGTGGTGCTGAAAAACCACTCTGACCCCATAGCGGCTTGCGACGTTTTTTAAATTATGGGGCATCCTGTGCAGGTACGGTATTACTACTGGCCTTGTTCTCTCGACACTGGTCTTGTTGGACTGGAAGCCTTTTGCCTTCTTCACCAAAGCATTTGCCACACCAGCCAATAGGGTGATGAATAGCCTGCTTTCCTAATGGTGAATTTGCGTGGTTCTTTCTGCACGCTCTCGAGCGCTCTTTCCAGAGCGCTCTGGTTGAAAGAGAGTGCCGTGGCCAAATCGGCTGGTTCATTCCGAGGGCACCTCTCCTTCTCAGAGCGCTCGCCGGCGCTCCGTTTGTAGCCGTCGGAGTGCGGAGCGGCGCAGGCATCACGTGGTACTTGGATGGGGATCACGTGGTTTTGTTGACGATGGCTGGCAGTGGTCTGGGGTGGCAAAGCTTTGGTGGTGGTGTGCGGGGTATGGCATGACGACGATTGATATGTGGTTCTACAAAGTGCTTGTGCATTTGACGGTGCGAGGATTACAACAAACGGGACGACATTCGTTTGCGACCGTAACAGGAAAAGTCGACGTGTGAAGTTTTCCCAGTGCTTTCACGAGATAGTTCATCTCACGGCGGTGAATTTGTATAGCGCCGTAAATATAGATCTAAACATTTTTTTCTTTGTTGTAAAATCGTTTTATGACATCCTTTTTCCATTTAAGCTGTCTAAAAAAATGTTTTTTTCCTTCGCATGTGTCCTTTAAATCTTACTTTAAATGTGCAGAAATTAAAACCGAAACTTAAGCTCTGTCCGGCAACATTGACCTCAGGCTGCCAAAAACATGGCTATCACTTGGGACGAGGGGTCACGTGGTCCTCCATGCAACGACGGGCGGGAATGATGTGGGCGTGTGCCCAGTGCAAGTGTTGTCTGCACTGTAATCTTCATCACGTTTTTGTGTCTACGACATTTGACGTCATCTGCACAACTGCAGCATCAGTGTGAGCACACAGTGTGAACAAAATTCTGAGACGACGGTGGTTGTGACGCAGGAGATGGAGGTGATGGCAGGATGGCCAGGCAGCTCCCAAGAAGCGCGCTTCGCAGGCGCATTGCGCCAATCACGTGGACACTGCTGAGCACCGAGACGAAACGTTGCTGATGAAACCCGTAACGCTTGCCAGGAGAAGCAAAAACGAACAAAAAGGAGCAATGGTGATGACATTTAACTCAATGTTGAAGCGCCAACACTCGCCAACACCGTAGCCTTGACAGCACCGTTGATTGCGCCTCAATTTTCCCGCTAAAGTCAGCCGAGTTCGGCAATTCTGCGCATTCGAAAGTTTGTCGGACCGTGTAAGGAACATTTAGACAGAACTAGGTCGTAATATTTGACGTGTGGGCTTCCTAGGTGACACTGAAAAGGACTGCATGGTTTTTTTAAAAACGACAAATGAAGTGGAGTTGCCCTTTAATGCCATTAAAATCATAGTGAAGTCAAAGTTCGCTGCTTTTTCGATTGACAGCTGCATGGGAACTACCTTGACTACCGAATTCATTAAAATATAGACCTACATTTATTTTGTTTTAACCTTTCTCAACGCAGATTTTTAAGATTAGAGATCGACCTACAATCAAGACCAAAGGTAGACCTGCAATAATACTGAGCATAATTTCCGAGCCTATTGCACTGGCCCAGGAGCTCACCCAGAGCCGTATATAGAGAGGGTTTGGTCAATGGGAGGAGCAGACAGAGCAAGGGCATGCACCAGACACAGATAAAGAGGGGTGCAAACATGCTCTCCTGGCCCACCAGAAGCCAAAAACAATCCCCTAGCGGTGGTAGCGAGAAACACTTTTAATAAGAGCGGAAGAGTTCAACGCAGTAATTCTTTATGGTTGAAAATATGGTGCAAGTGACATTTCAATTATGATCGAGCAAAAAGGTGAAAGAAACAAATGTGCTACTCTCGAACTCTGTTTTGCTCGGACGGCAGATGCCTGGCCCTTGGCGTACAGATTACGCGCAGCGATCGAAACATTACGTGCACCATATTTTTAGTCAGCGAGCCTTACTCCGAAGCACTTATCAATTTTGCGTCTCGCAGCCGCCGGCAGGGTCGCGAGCTTCCGGTTGGCCTCATTTTCAATTTGTGAACGTACCCTGGAACACGCCCAGCCCGCTTTCGGACGATGGTGCCTCCTCATTTGCCTTTTACGGTTCCCAATGAATGGCCAAACTCTCTCTATATACGGCTCCGAGCTCACCCGTGACAGCACGTTGCTGCAAAGCGGTGAAGCTTGACGTGCGTGCGCCGGTGAGAGGCGGCACGAAGGTACGCATGCAGCAGACACAATAATTGAGCGATCTCATTCGGAGTACAAGACCCTGGTTCTGTCTGATAACAGTAGTTGCCATCCCACTACTTTGCAATGTTTTCTTGCAACCTTTAGCTCCCAACATCGCTGACTTGATTTAGAAAAAAAATTGTGAGCCATTTCACTCTTTTGAAGGTGGATGATCAGCGAAGCTGTTTAACACACGACACAGACCCGCCCAAGGAGCTGGGGAAAACTAGACACGCGCAACAGGACCACCACCCAGCAGAAAAAAAGACACACGCGACGGGACCACCACCTTGAGAAAGTGGAAGGAAAGCAAACTAGACATGCAAGCGCTTGGAACGACGACAAAGAGAGGGGGGTGCAAGTGTAAACATGGCCGATGCAGGTTCCACAGCGGCAAACTTTCGAGAAATTTTCATTATCTACCTGAGAGTCTACTAATCTTGAAAATGGTGCTACTGAATAGACCTATTGGTAAATTACTCAAGCATCAAGGAGAATGCAGGGAATGGTGTTCCATGCATAGAGTTATTATAATGTACGCCAGAGGTTCAACTGGTGCTAGTGTCTATGCGACTTCCGTGACGCAAATTGAAGCAGACAGCAACCAGTCTACTTTTGCGGTGCTCCTGCACATTCCTATGGGAAAATGCGCATGCATTTTGTCTCTTTGCCGGGTAATAACACAGAACGCTTTGGTTATTTGGAATAGGATGTACCTTGATTAAACCTGTAAAAGTGCAACTGCTTTAGTTAGCGCATTTTTCTTCATCAGTAAACGATGTTTAACTTTGCTACATTTCAATCCCAAACATGTGTTCCGCAGCAGGTGCGTAAAAACAAGCGACGATTCAAAGCAAACTAACAATCGAAACGAATATAGAGCGAGTTCAAGGCTTGCCACCACTCCGGTGACGCTTGTATATTGATAATATGCCAGTCCTGTCACTATATGCAAATGACCGCGTCGTGGATGAGCGGATAAAAACATTCAAACCGTAGAGAATAAAGTCCGTGGGCTATGAAAGGTGTCTCTTCGCACTGTTTTCTCTGCCGGGCAGCTTTTATCAGGCACTTGTTCTCAAAGATTTCGAACGTGCGAGTGATGTTTTCAACGCGGAACAAACATCTTTGCACATCGTCACGAGCAGAAAGAACAAAGCTGTACTTACTTATTTAAAATCGGAATTTATTACGTGGTTTTCAATTAATTTTGATTGTGCATGCACGTTACTGATCCAGCGTTACTGCATAGTTCTTGCCGTCTCCCTTAATCTCCAGATGTCCTTCGTTGGTTTGGCACGTATATCCCTCATGCTGAAAGACGCCGACGCCGCGTTCGCGCTAACAGTGTCCGACAGTGCACATAAATACACGTACGGAGCTGTGTTTTTAATGTGATGAATTTGAAAGACAAATGCCGTAACTGACCAAATATTTCATCGGCTTGACTGAGAAATGTTCCAACGTGCCTAGTACGTACAAATTATTTGTGATATTTGCTCTTATAATTGAGCGCAGAGAGAAAATGCACTCGCTTTTTCCCATAGAAATGCATCACCGGAAGTCAATTTTCGACTGGTTGCTGTCTGCTTCAATTTGCGTGAGCACACTAGCGCCACTTGAACCTCTAGCGTACATTATAATAACTGTATGGTTCCATGCACCCATGCACTGGCGTCTGCAGCAGCAACTGTTCTGAAGCAAAAGCCTAAAACAAATGGCATCTTGTATGCGTATTTGTCAACACTTAAATTTGGTTATTTACTTCAAATTTTTTATATCGGAAAAGCATGCACGTGCGGTGGTAGAAGCGTTGAGTTATTAGTCACTGCACACGAAAAATCTACAGAACCCTAGCCATAAACAGCTTCGCTGTAATTTAGACGAAGTCGGCAATCAAGTCGCCAGAGGCACCGGTTCGCGACTTGTTGCTCACGCACGCTTCCGTGAAACATAGAGCCACGAGCGAGCCAAGGCAGAGCAGACGTCCGCGGGCAACGTCGCCGTCGGGAGGAAGGACATGTCGAGGACATGAGACGGGTGCAATGAGCCGCTCGATTCCTTAGAGGCTGCGTACCAGGGCCTGCCACTGGTCCAGCGCCTTGAGGAGCAGCACGACGTAGGGGGTGTGGCTGTGGTCCCTGTCGCCCAGTGTCTCCATTCGCGTGGCATCCACCAACGCCCGGAGCGCAGGGAAGGGCCGGTCCAGCCGCAGGTCGTCCAGGGCATTGTCCGGGTGCGTCTCCACCACTGCACGGCCGCCCCCCCCCCCCCATCAGGCATCCGCTCCAACACCACCGGGCGCTTGCATATTAGGGGCGAAGCTCCTTAGGGGCTAGCCATGTCCGTATGTCCGTCCGCCGTCGAGTGCATATGCTCATGCTCGTGAGCTCACGTGCTCACGTGCTCACGAGCACATGAGCACGTGCTCCCGTCCTCGTGTAGGGAAAAAAAAAACACATCTTCACGTGGTGAATGATGTTGATTGGGGCGAAGCTCTGGTGGTGCTTGTCTGCGTAGATGCTGAGCCGCAGCATGCCGAGCCTTTCGTTCGTTTTCATTCATGTCAGAAAGAGAATGTGTGGTATGGAACGTGGTTACATACGCATTTGAGCATTTGATCGCAGCATGACATGGATGAAAACGAACGAAAGGCTCGGCATGCTGCGGCTCAGCGTCTACGCAGACAAGCACCATCACAGCTTCGCCCCAATCAACATCATTCACCACGTGGAGATGCGGTTGTTTTTAATCCTTCTTTGGTAACGCCGCAGAAAACCGAAGCCCCTCCAACGAAAGCTGCAGTCCCGCACTAATACTTCAGAAAAGTGTTTGCAACTTTAAGAAGATGTTTCAAATCCAAGTTAAAGCAACTTTCAGACAGCTGTTCGAGGCAGAGAGGGATGCGCGCGGCTACGCAATTACGGTGAGAAGGCCAAGGATAATTTCCAAGCTTGCTTCGTTACAATTATTTTTGTACTCACTACACGTAACTCATTTTGGGGCCGAACGACAAAACTGCCATTATCCCGAAAAAAGAATCTTCGAATAGCGTTCAATGTTTCTTTCGCGCATCCTTCTAAGGTCCAAGTTTCTATTGGTAATATAAACTCTAGCATTCATATGGAACTCACTGTATGCAATATTGTCGACGAAATAAAATCGGAAGCATCCACCATGGTGTGACGGAACATTTCTACTCGCTACGCTTCTACGTCACTAAAATCAAATTGGCAGTGACTTCTAAAGGAAGACCCGAGCCCAGGGACGAGAGAAAGTTTTCCCAACACACTCACTGGGTCTGAGGCTCTCCACGGCGTCCCTGCTAACCCTAGCCGAGTGGGCCGTGGTTTCGTCAGCGGCAGCCTACGTAGGTGCAATTACGGACACTTCCGGCAGAAAAACAACTGCTTTCCTTTCGATTTTTGCGTTTCATCGCACACATACCTTCCCGAAGCCATTGAGGAAGCACCATCTTTGAGAGTAGAAACAAACTGCAAGCTACTTTTGTTGAGTATGTGCCCGACAGAAAGCAGAATTCGTACAGATTACAAAGAAAGAAATTATCCGAGGAATTTCATGCCCTGTCGGAGTATTTTCGAGGACCTTACTCAATGCTGCATGTAGCAGTTTTTCATGAAACACCGTCGTTAAACGATTGCAGGTATACTTTTTATTGAACTAAGCAAAAGAAAAAAAATTATCTATCTAGCAAAATTGCTCGCATCTTCACGATGCCAGCATGTTTAGCGCTTTAACAGCTTTTATTTGAGAAACATTTTAAATGACGCAGCACATCCAGTCAACTGCGTCGACGCCAGCCATCAAGATTGCACGGAATCCAAGAGAAACTCGCTTCGGGGCACGAACGAGTAGACCTTGCTTTCTGCGCAGTTCTAAAGTGAAGGAATGAACCCGATCAACTATTTTTGGCAAAGGCCAAAGACTTTTCGGGGATTATTTCGATGGAAGGCAGTTTTCATTGTTCTCAAGGTCGCACATCGTGGGGTTCGACGGTGTTCCCTTCGATGGGTTTCATGGAATGCCGACCCGAAACGCCCGAGCAGGAAGCACTCAGGCTAAGAGCACTGGTTCTCAGGGTGAAAAGTTACACAAAAGGAGCACGTTGCATGAATAAAGTAAAGTGGCGACTTCCAAGAAAGGTTGGGAAACTGGGAATGCACATCGCAGGCTGCACCGAGTAGGTTTCAAGAGCCCAGGAAAATGACAATGTTTTTACCAACTAGGGGTTGCAACAGCCATGCCAGTTACACCACCAGCAACGCAACGGCAATCTAGGAGCAGTTTATATAGAGAGTTTGTTTCAGACGCACTGGCACAGTGCGAGTTCCCTCCCAGAATGCACCGCACTCGCGGAGTGCCTCACAAACGGTGCAGCGAGTGGAGCCCGACGCCGTAGCCATCTATCGTTGTAAGAGCACAGACCTCAAACCAAAACTAGCACCCCGGTGCGCAACGCGACAGGCGGGAACGCGAGACAGTGCGGTCGCTGCAACGTTTACATTTGCGACGACTTAAACAACTAGACTGTCCCGGAGATATTTACGAACGACATATGTTTATGCTGCAAGCTGACAACGAAACAGCCGTAAAAAGCAACAAAAGACAACAGACTTTCAATTCTTATAGCTGTTTACACCGGAGAAAAAATCATTGACACTACTTGAGCAGAAGCTTCATCAGTTTTAAGTGTGAACCACGGAAGTGCTTCGAACTAGTCCATTGGAATCTCCGGCAATGCGTTTCGTGGCACCTTCAATTTCGATCCTCGCATGCAGACGGCTGGGTCCGCTTTCATTCCCGATCAAGAGAGTAGAGATTGAGCTTCCTTGAACAAACAACGAGGGTGCAAAATAACTGCTGTAGGTAAATGCTAAACACAGCGATTTTACCCGAGCCTCAATTAAAATCTCTATGTTTAGTTTTCTCTGCTGCTAACTGAATGCGTCCCAGGTTCTGTTGCGAGCCTTACCGAGAAATGCCCACTCGCGAGTCCAGAATGGGCAGTATTTTGACCAAAACTTTTCACCCGTATATGGATGATGAGAGAGATCTCGTGGCAGCCAACGCGTTTGTCCCGAGCCTTTCTTTACTCGCCGGTAGATGTCGGCGACTGTACGGAGACAAAACATACTGGAGCTTGCAAAAGTATGACTTAACAACTGGTTTCCGTACAAAATAGCAGACTCGCAATTCAACCACACATTCGATCCCATCGCCCATGGGACGCAATTTCTAGCCTCAAATCTACTTTATTCTTGGTTCCGCTCAGTGCGAATAACGAGCAGACGAACCCCCGTTGTCTGCTCTTACCCGAGCGACCCGCGGCGGGATTGCATTCTGATGCACGCTTGATTCTCCCAATGCAGCAAGTGCATGCATGTGTGGAGTGCCGGTCGAAATGAAGTCTCTCTACGCAGCAACGAGAGCAGCGAAACAAACTTGCTATTAGAACAATGTTTAGATCTCGTGACGCCAAATTCCCCGCTAAATTTAGCGGGGAAACTAAATTGAGGTATAGGTCGTGTGACACGAATTTCTTGATAGCAGGAAATGCACGAATGGATAGACTTCTGGGACTAGGGCTTCCGTTAAAAAGCACTTCATGCCTTAATGTTCTTTAGCACTGCGACTTTATGAACTAAAAAAAAATAAATAGAAACTACACTAGGACAACAAATCAGACATTTACGACAGAAAGTCTGATTTTCACGATGTGCCTCTCTCGGGGACACTTGTTCATTATGAAGATATTTTACAAACCGTATGCGTGTACAGTGCATCTCGACTTTCCAGAATGTGAATGGCTGTATTTTTATTTGAGTGTTCTTTTGTTCCTGCAGCAGTCTTCCCGACAAAGAATGTCGGGGACTCAGTCAAGCTGCAACAACAGCAGCTTTCGGTTTCTTCATACGTGCGAGACTTATAAAAAGAAAAAGCACTATCACGATTATCATTAACATTTTTCGCGTGTCCCTTTGTACAAGAAGTATTATAGAACAGAGACACGTGCAAATCCGATTCCATTAAATAAAGACATAAAAAAATACCTTCACCTTGGTCAACTGATGTTCAGAATAAGCATAGATCCCAAACGGGGATCAGAGGCGGAGGTGCCTTCGCAACGTGTAGGCCTTCGGTGCAGGCACTGACTCTTTATAACGACTGGAGCCATTTGGCCAGACGAAAGAAAAGCGGGTCTTCACCTGGGTGTTCCTTGACCTGGAGCCTCATGTAGCCAATCATCCCGTACGAGCGGCACACCAGCAACGGCACTCCAGCATCCCACAGCTTCGCGGCTAAGTCCAGCAGGGTCCTACGGCAGTACCGGAAAATGCGGAGTGTCATCAGCACAACGCCAAGTTGTGCAACTCAAACACGCTGCAGAATTGACAGCACGGGCGTTGCGCACACATATAGGAAGAACCCTAAAGACTGAATTCGCGTACAACAGGTTGCCGCATACTATATCCGCAGCCGCCGGTGGATCCAATCGGATCCAAACTGCAATTTGCAACTTTATTTTTCAGACTTTATGCCCAAACGGTACCTTCGAGGGACGTCTGCTTGCACAAACAAAACCTTCCCAAGGCCTCGCATCTCGTCAATGTCATCTCCTTCACGACATCCTTTGCGAGCGTTGCTGGCTTTGTTGGTGGAAGTATCACCTTCACCGAACTCAGATTAACACTACGTAGAAAGTCGCTATAGTTGTTGCGAAAGTCACAGAGCCATCAAAAGGCTCTCTGACAAAAAATCTCTCAGCCCTCATAACTTCTCTTATGGGTAACTGCACTCCATATCTTAGAATTTGAGGTTATGGCAGTTTTAAATGAGCCAACATCCCCGACTTCCAAGGTATAGTTTTATTTTGGCATTGCATATAGAGTTGAGCCCGTTTATATCGAACTCACGTATTTTGAATTATTGTTTATATCAAACAGTCCAAACATCCCCTTGAAAATCACATGTAATATTATAGGAGCGTTGTCTTTTCGTGTCGAACTCCCATGGGGAGTACACTTGATATAGCGAACAAAGCCCGTTGCTTTTCCTACAATCCAATTGCGCAGGTGGCTAGCACATTGCTTGTGTGGAGTGGCTGGCAGATCGCCAAGCCTGCATACACGCGGGAAGAAAGATACACAGTGAAAGAGCAGTTGTGAGAAGGGAGAAACAATGAACCGTAAGAGAAAAGTGGAGGACTGCGAAAGCAAGGGGAAGGGCACGCGCAGGCACGTAGGGAGAGCAGGGAGTGACCACTGTTGGAGCGGTAGCCTGCGCCCTTTCATCAAACACTGCTGATGCTGCTCGACTCCCTAACCCCAAAATAAAATAAGCAAAAAAAAAGTCTTTGGCGAGTTGAGTGAGTTAAAAACAATGGTTGTTCAACTGCACTCCGAATACCTTATCTTTGTTTACCTTTTTCTTTTGCCGTTGTTGCTTTGCCCTTTTTTATTTTTGTTTTTCTTTTTTTTTTTTTGCTGATCGAATTATGTCAGCTTTCTTTTTTTGTTGCTTGCTTAACTTTTTTCTATGGATCAAGTATTTTTTATGTGTCTCGCTTTTACATTTTTCTTTCATTTTTTTTAAATTATTTGCGTGTTTAGTCATTTATGCTGTGTGGAGGTCCCGGCCAGGTACGCGTGTAAGCGCGGCGGTGTTCGTGGTCTCTGCCAACTATGCTCTTATGAATTTAGCGACTCTCGAATGCCCTATTTGGTAAGCTCCCGTTTGTCGCAACCTTGGCTGTTAGCAGAGATGCCAAGAAATTTCAACTTGAGCTTAATTTAACATATTTTTGTCTATCAAATTATTGATAAATCGAACTATTTTACGACTTCATTTGAATTCGATATATTTGAGTTTGACTGTAGTTCTGTAGTTATTTGATTTTGAAGTTTAGCTTTGGGAGCCTACCTCAAAACTGAAACTGCCTGCTTGAAAGGACGGCAACACTGGTACACGGTTGGCATTAGATTTCAGGTTGCTCGATCATTTCAGGTTGCTCGAGTTTTGAGTCTATGGAAATGATGAGATACAAAAACGTCTAACTTTCTGATTTGCAAAGGCTTTGGGACTTCAAAAATGCTCGGTTGGACGCAACGATGGCAATCTTCCGCACAAATGAGACAGACCCTAGAAGTTTTCACACGGTCACACTAATGCCAGGACCGTGAACCCAGACGCTGCTGGCAAGTGACAGCCTCAACCTCCACGCGGGTTTCTCCAAGAGCCCAGCAACTGACTGAGCCATAATTGTGTAGCTGCTACCAGATACGGATGTGCAAAATATATTTCCGTACGTTGAATTCATCCCAGATTAGACAATAGTTTCACTAATCTGCCAGTAACTACCCCGAAGGGTCGAACAACATTTGCTACCTTAGATCTAAATATGTTCAGGTTGGAATGTCGCTACAATTTTCTTAGTGGTGACCCCATGAGGCATCATTGGTGCAATAAATAAGAATACGACGGCCTTCCAATATTTAGCGCGTCAACTTTCGTTTGAAACTCACTTTTCCTTGAGCCCGGTGGCAACCACGACTGAGAACTTGGAGAAGAAGCGTGGATTGTGTTCCAGGAGGTGCTCGGGAGTCTGGAAGTCGTTTAAAGCCCGTCAGTGTCCACTGTTTTTTCCTATAAACTGAATTTATAGCGTGCAGAGCCACGAACGGCAACAAAACTGCCTCGGTAATAGTGACCTGCAGTGACGGGGCGACGTTGTTCAGCATTACTTTGAACTCGGTATGCTAGGCAGCGCTGATTGTGTTGTATTTGAATCGTTTTAACCACTTTATAGCTTGCTAATCTATAAAGCTGAAATTGGCAACGGAGTTCCGTTTTATCTACAAAAATAATGGTGGCAGTCACCTTCTAAGCTGGTAAACCCGTAATTATTGATTACCGTAAAATACCGAGCATCCGCCTGTTTCACAATAAGCCCCTCGATTTTATAATGCACAGAAAATATGCAAAGGATATTTTTTTAAATATTGTTGACTTAAAGAGCATCCATCCCCCAGTTTTACACGATCAACTCGAAATGTGGAGCACGTGCTTGCTTAGGATTTTAAGGTAGATCCGAAAATGTACTCTAAATTACTACGGTGTTTTCTGGACAATAGTATGTGAACTATCTACGTTGAAAGTTTACATGGTGCCAACTATCTACAGACGTGGATTATCCAAGGATTCGCTTTCTAGATTGTTCGTTATGAAAGACTTGAGAAAGTTCATGAATGACAGAGTATGTTAATGATCATTTATGTCTGATACAAGTGTCCTTCTGCGAATAAAGCAGGGGTACTGTAAATGACTTCATTTTCGCGAATTTCGCGAATCGCCTACCATTCGCAAAAAATAGGTCCTCCAAACAATTCTGGTAAAATGTAAACTCATTGGAATCTATACTGAGATCCCACCACATCGCGAAAATTAGAACCCGCAAATTATTCCAAAACTTCAGCTTTGACCTAAATCGCGAAATATTGAGCCCGCTTTCAAAATAAGTCGTTCACAGTATGTCAAGGTTTGCAGTGTATAAGTTTATACGTGCCGACTAAATATTCGGTGCTGACAACCTAGGCAAAAACTTTTCAGTTGAAATGTGCTTCTACGGATTTTACACCCTATAGTCCAAGAAATATGGTACGCAATAAGGAAACTTTTGCGCTTAAAATGAACAATATAAAAAAGACTGGCATGCAACTGATAAGTTTGAGAGCGCAGTTGTGGACTGACCTCATCCACAAAGTCTCCCTGAACATCAGGGTTGAGCTCCAGAAGCAATTTGGTAGCAGTCTGAGCTCTTGGCTGGAAAGTGTTGACAAAAAATTAAACTTCATGTGATAATGAAATTAAAATATAGCTCTCACCTTAAGAAATAAGTTAATTATGATCAACGAAATCTGCTACTGGCAATCGTACGTTTGCATTTTGAAGGAGTGGCTATATTTTTCGTTCCAAACACGATGCGTCTCGGGAGTGCTCAGGGCGCGTTGGTGACGACGTGTTTTCCTTCACTTGCAATGCTAAGGGGAGGCCGGTGTGGACCTCACCATTTGGTGGCATGAACGCATTACAACCTGGCCATTCAAGATCTCCTCGCGGGAGTTGATTAGGCGCGGGAGAGAAGGGAGATCCGGGTTGGCCAACTTGGGCGGGGCTCAAGCGCACGCGGCTTGCCTCTGTACTCCCGTGCGCTGCCTTAAAGGGGCCCTGCAATCATATTTAAGCGTCTATCTTTTTCGCGGTTTCCACGTCTCTTGGGGTTCAAACAAGCCAGCGGGCACGGAGAGAGTAGCTAACTTTCAGTGCGTCATATTTTAACCGGACGACGCGGAAACCTCCTCCACTGACAAGGGCGACCCGCAGTACTGAAAGCGCGCAAAATGTGACGTCTTTGGTCCTGGGCTTACTACTGGTCAGAGCCGCTAAAAGCTTCTTTTTAGTCGAAATACAAAATATAAGTGGCGCAAACCGTTTCAATTATTTATTGAAGTAGTTTTTGTTCAATATTTTAGATCAGAAAAGAAATGAATGCAGTTCATAAAGTACGGAAACAAGAAATGACCCGTCGACATACCTGCCACCAAGCGGTGGAAAAGGCAGCGCATACTAGGAAGTAGTGGTGGGATGAGGCGCCGACACGGAAATGTCCCGGATGTACGCGGCGGCGCTGCGGTCGTATAGACAGGTGGATCCGACCGGCTCCGAGCGTTCCGAAGGCCTTCAGCAAGAAGCTTTGTCTTGCGGTTTGGCCGCTTTGCGGTATGACAACACAAAGTGGCTCCCATTCTGAACTGATCTTTACCCCGTGTTTGCTGTCATTTGTGGTCAATGAAGTGTCATGCCGAATTAGTGTTTAATTGTGCAGCAAATGCAATGCGAGCCGCCCTGGCTGCCCGCTTTATACAGCCTAGCCGGAACATGCTCTAGTGGCGCCCTCTCGAGCCGTCGACACGGAGTGCGGCAGCCGTGAGCGCTCGCTGAGCTCACTAGCCCTCCTCTAGTTCACGGCCACTCAAGCAACCAAGGACGTCATGAAGGAGGTTATTTTTTGCTTGCTCTTGTAATTTTGATTTGCCTATAACTTTTAAAATAAAGGGAATTTCAAGAAAAGAAAAGTTCCACTAAGTTACTATGTTCAGTGTGCTCAGGTTCGGTGCAAATTAAAAACCAGTAAAAAAGTCCTTGCAGGGCCCCTTTAATGGGTAGTTTGACGTAATGGCATCCGGATTATCCACTTTAAATATTGTATTGGCGTCTTTACGAGCAAAAAATTGGTGTGTGCATTGTTGCCAGAACGTGGCTGACATTGAGACAATAAAATAGGTGCTAAAATTTCGTTTGCATTTGAATGCAAGATTGAGAGCAAGGTGAGCCGGGCAGATCTTACCTTGCCGATGCTATCCTTGTCAAGAAAGAAGCTGCAATGCGGACAATCCCTTTAAAATGCGGTCATCGAGAGGGTACCATCGTACCGATGCAACTTCCATTCTAAGGGTGGAAGACGACCGACCAAATGCATCTTACTTGTTTCCAACGTCTTCGGCAGTGACTTGGTTGCCGTCGACGATGGTAAATGCACCAATACCTGACAGGCAAATGAGAAAGAAGAACTGAGCAACTGGGAGTATGTGGCCCCGCTGCAGCAAAACAAAACACCCACGGGTGTGCCAGTCGTCCATATGCTCAGCTGCAATAGCCCAGTTTGACGTTACTCGAGTTTACTCGCAACACCTTAAGCACCAGTTTATCTTTAAAGAAGTACTAAATTGGTTTTTGAGACTGTCTTCTAATGGCGCAACCCTAAGCATCCTACAAGAAGTTACAATGGTACATGGACTTTTTACCCTCCTAAAAATGCAACGGTTCACCACACCCCATTTTCTGAGATCTGAGAAAAGAAGGACGTCACGACTGTTTGGTCGCAATTTCAACAGCAAGAAAAGTCACGCACCATCATAATTTTTAATTGAAAAGATGCTCCGAGCATGGTCCACCGAGCGATTGCCATTCAAAACTAACCCTTTGAGGTCATGCGTCGCCCGATTGAAGAAACCCATTCCCAGTATGTTGTCGGACGTTGCCTGACACCACGACTCCCGCTCTCGTTTAAACCTTACTCCTATGTTATTTTTGGCTGGATTGGTGGCGCCATCTCTCAGCATGTTTCTTTTTATAGTTGTTTTTGTCCATAGAGGGCAGAAGTGCTCGTGAGCGGCGCAAGTGCGGGTTGCTTCAAATTTCGCTGGCTGGAAAAAGCATGGCGGCATTAATGTTAATTTTGACCCATAAACTAACATGCATATAATGGATATTCACTAAAACTTCAATGTGAAATTTCATCAGATATTCACAGTTTGAACGTAGAAGCTGAGACAAAATAGGGTGTATTAAAATGCCAAACTAATTGTGGATTGGTAGAACAATTTCTCCCCATTGAATTGAGCACCAAGTTCATTACCAAGTTTCGCAAACCTGTGCGTCTCTCCAATGATCTAAATCACACTCCTCAGTAATTTTGTATACGATTACACTGATCGTCTAAGCAAAGACTCCAGAAAGTCAACTGAATCTTCATGCTATTAGTACAAAGTGCCAAAATTGGGACAGTTTTTCAAAAACTGAGGTTGCTTAAGACCTAGCATAAAGTTGGCATCACCTGCATAAGACTACCCATTCCTTGAAGTTTCAGCTTCACTGCAGTGGCACCAATGAGCAAAAGTTGAATTGTGTACGTAGGTGGTGTTATGCCCATTGGTTCTCACAAGGTTAAATTTCTAAAGTCGGCTTCACTTCAGATATAAATTTAGCTCTTACCCCAGATTGCCGCAGCTTCTCTGTGATGTTCCTAATAAGCAAACACAAAGCTGCGCCCATTGGTGCCATGCTGCACATTAAAGCTCACTGCCCATGTGTGATACCTGTCAGACGGGCACGTAAAATGACATTCAAGCAAAAGGCCTTCGGCACTTTCAAATGCCAGGCGTGTTGCGGGCATTTAGCAGGGAGGGCCGATTTGCCTGTGGACACCAAGCTGGCAGGGCCTCACCAGCAAGCGCGACACTCTTCAGAACTTCTGTCCCTGTGGCCGTGGCATTGATGAGGCAAACGTGGCCAGCTTCGAGAGCGGCCTGTCCGTGGTCACCCCAGAGCCTGCGCAAATCCGTCCATCGTCCATACATGTCGTTGTCAAACAGCTGTGCCCAGATTAATCCAAAGATTCGTGAAGATTCACTCGGCGTAAAGAGTATTTCCAGGTCACGCATAGTCCTGTCCGTAAAAGGATTTGAGTACCCGTGTAAAAGCACAACCCCTTCGGGCTGAAGCTATGGGCCCGTGAAGCATCAGCGTTTATTTATTTATTTCTAATACTACTAATCCCATTCGTGATTTTTGTAGGTTGGTACATCATACAGAAAGATTTTTTTTTTTAATACACATTTAAAGACAGTGGCATGCAAGCCTAAGTCGGCAGGTGCGCTTCCAAGTTAATGAGAAAATGGTTATGGTTATATCTTGTTCAGCGATGTAGATTTTCCATTTTCCTGGGGGGGGCGGGGGGGGGGGGGGGGGGGCTGAGGAGTTCTCCAAAGGCGGGGGCGGGGGGGTTGCACAATTTTTTTTTACATTGGCAATTATCAGCAGTGGACTCCTCTCAAAAGGAACTTGAAGGGAGAAGAAAATTTATTCCATTTATCAGAAGTTTCATTTAAGCAAAGTACACAAAATTTGTGAATTATTACTTTATTTCAAAAGCTTTAAGTATAGATAACAGGCTGACTAAACAAAACAAGATTATTGGCCTCTTGTTAAGTTTTAAAGTATATAATGTTGACATTGGGAGGCTGGAGAAAAACTCTGTGCACATCTCCTAAAGCATCAAATACAGCTAATGTTGATAAAAACAAAACAAAACAAAACAAAAAAACATAAATGAGTTTGTATGGCATTGTTTAAGCACTTTTTTCACAAACTCGGGTCCACCACATGAGCGAATGACGTTTTAGCGAAAACGACAATTGAGCGAGTCAACGTTTTAGCGAATAACGGGGGCGCGTTAACCCACCCCCCCGCGCTGCGCTTACGCCGCTTCGGGGCAACAGTCTGCGGCAGCTCATTACAAAATTGTGAACCCACTTGGCCCCCCAGAAACACCGCTTCGCGGCGTCCGACTATTCGCTAAAGTGTCATTCGGTAAAACGTGGGCGTTCGCTAAAACATCATTCGATCAACTGAGTGCTTCCCCGTTTGGGTCCTGAAGTTCTCGATCCCCATTTGGGAGAAAATCTCTCGGGCCTTCTCCTTTAAGAAGGGTCCGTTGATCGGCAAATTGGCACTGCGTGCACGCTTAAACCAGAGTAGAAGCACATCCTCAATTTCCCTGCACGCCGTCGTCCGCATCCACATACGGTCCATTGCGAAGGTCCCAAGCTCGACGGCGTCTTCGATCTTTCCTTTGTTCTTCAATATCCTTGACAGTGTAAACTTGGGGATCCCACATTTCTTGGCGATTTCTGTCTTTGTAAGTTGGTTGCAATCAAGTTCTTGAATTATCTTGACTTCCATTGCGAGCGAAAGTGCATTGTGCTGTCGTTTCTTGGTGGTTTCCATTGCGGATCTACGATTAGCATGATTAGATATGGCCAGACTTGTACGTAACTTAAATACTCTACTCAAGTTACTGTATCTTAAATACTTTTGTGAGTAACTTAGTATCTTGCAAATACTTTCGAACGTCAGTATTTCGTACTCTAACTTAAATACTCTTTTCAAGTAACTTGTAATCATTTTAAAGTCACTTCTAAGTTACTTTCTATTTTTTATTTTCTTTAGAGGTGGGAAGCTTGGAAAGTATTGAACTCCAGTTATTTTGGTTAGGCGCCCTGCCATTGCAGATACATTTTGTGCCAGGTAATACAGTGCACTTCCGTGCTTCTGCTGAAAGAGGTGACACCGAGAAGCAGGTGTCGCAGCCTCAAGCCAAGCGGACGCGTGTCGTGTCTTCTAACTGGGCAAAACGTCAAAGCACATTTTCTTACAATTGGTTTGTGCCCAAGCCCAAGAGCAACAGAAATTCCGAAGCAGAAGGGCATGCGGGTGAAAGCATAAGATGTGTACAAGGCTACATGCCAGAGGGAGGGCGCTTGTGTCAGAGAGAGGGTGGGTTCTACAACTCTGGTAAGAGTTGACAGTAAACTGGAGTTTATTTTTCTATGTTATGGAGTCATGGGTGTACCAATCAGGGGGCCAAGAGGGGCGCTTGCCCCCTCCCCCCCCCCCCCCCCCCCCAGTAGTTATTAGAGCTGGGGGAAGGGGGGGCTAGGCATTGGTTTTATCCCCCCTGAAACAGCTGCCATTGGGAAGGGCAAACACTGGCCGGCGGCGCCCTAAGGATTCCAATTGCCCTATCCCCCGGCTAGGGGGGGGGTTTGGTTTGCCCCCTTACTCAAGACAAGTTGGTATGCCACTGTACGGAGTGAAAGCATATAAAAGAAAGCCTTCCAGCTTTAGAAATGCCTTCGCATCTGCACGCAGTCGCATACACCGCTCGCTCATTTCACTAGGCATTCTTCGCACAGAAGACTCGTAAGACGCGACTACACGTCTCCAAATCGGCAGCCCATCGCTCGCGGCGTACGCAGCGTTGTCTTCGGTAGCACAAATGACCGCTGGCGTCCACCACGGCAGTGTTGTCAGATGGCCGAACCCGAAAGTCCCCACGTCCGCGCCAAAAAATCCCTGTTTGACCCTACCCGGGTGTGCAAATTTCCCTGCGGTTGTCGCCACAGGAAAAAAATTGTTTTATTTTATTTATTTTGCTTATTTGAGTGAGCCTGCCTTCTGTACCTCTTTGTGAGCACGTTACAATTGATTAATTAGCTTGCTTAAGAAACACGAGATTGAATATGTAAAAGGAAAAATACAAGGTAATCCAGGTATTCAGTTTAACAAATTAAGAATTTTTGTGTTTATTGCATAAGTCCCTAAAACTTGAACAGCATTTTTAAGAACACCCTGGTTATTAGGACCTTACGTTAACAAACATTTGCAACAATTGCCTGCATGCTGACATCTTTGTTTGCTGTGCTGTGCAGCGCTTTCTGAGCATGTGCTATTGCTCTGCTGTGTGGTATATATAATACGCGTACGCAGCTCAGTAACTCCGCTCAGTACACAGCTCAGTGATTCTGCATTTTTCACCCTGGTGATAAGCGATGGAAAGGTCTATAGACCCACTTTTTTCAGACAATCCGCTCCACAACTGGTTGGTTGGCGCAATCCGACGGCACAGGTATTCCCCAAGCCGAGCTCAATAGCACATCACATGAGGCAGATATAATCGAGACGATAGGCTCGAATAAAGACAATAATCAAGACGATAGGTGACCTCGTAAGCCGGGCGCTGCGCCTCCAATGAAAGCTTCTACTGAGGCAAACATTTGGATTACCGTAACTCGACCGACCGTAGCAAGCGCAACTCGATGCTCCGGGGCCAGGGCCCCCTCTCGGGCTCAAGTGCACCTGCACTCCCCCCCCCTCCCCCCCCCCCCTCCCCCCCCCCTCCCCCCCCCCCCCCCCCCCCCCCCCCCCAAAAAAAAAGAAATAAAAAAAAACCAGCAATAAGCGACGTTAGCGCGAATGTTGCGAGCGTAGCGGCCTTTCGAGTTTTGGAGTTTTCCATTCTGAAAGTGCCTACAAACTCCTCAAAAGTCAAAATTCGTCCCTACATTCCTACAGCGTAAAACAAAATGTGAATTCTTTCTGACTTTGGTTGTGCCTGACGATGAATTGCAGAGAAAATTGTAACTTGAGAATATCTTGAAAGTAACGAGTTACTTTTGTGGAGTATTTTGTACTTTACTCAATTACTTTACAAATTTGAGTATTTAGTACTCTACTCGGTTATTATTTTTCGTGTTACTCCGTAACTTAACTTAAATACTTTTAGTGAGTATCTTGTACAAGCCTGGATATGACAATGTCGTTTATGCGGGAACATGTGCTATTGTTGGATTGTCTTGGCTAAGCTATAGTGGCTTGGTCATTGTTCGTTTTCATAGTTGTCAGACTGCCACGGCTATTTCCGACTAGTGTCACTATATAAGTTACGCTTCAGAGTAACGACACTTGGCCATATTGTGGCTTAGAATCATGGTTGCCAGTTATCTGAAACTTTATCTGAAATCACAGGAAACGCTTTACCGTCCTCCACAAATGTTTAAACAGCTCGTGACAAAGGAAAACAATATTACATGGCCTTCCTAACACTGAATCTAATGCTGAGGAAGTTGCACTTTTGAATCATGACAATCGGCAGTTGCATCTGCTCTGCACAAGCCCCAAAATGGCGTCGCCCACAACAATGTCGGGTAACGGAGTGTCGATACTCTAAGCGCAGCTCACTGAGTGGCTCTATTTGCGACGTTTATAGTTTTCGTTCAGTTTAGTTTCATTTAACCGAAGTAAGAAAATAAAAGTGTTCCGATTAGCCAAACATTTTTATCATTAAATACATAAGAGACCAACCAGAAGTGCCTACATAGTTTCGTTTATGCATATTTTTCGTTTAACCGAGTTTTGTTTAATGGGAGTCCACTGTACTTTATTTTAGGGGGTACATTTTACAGCAAATGTATATAGCCATGTCTCCGTCGCTGTGTGCGTTACTTTGCTTGCATGCCACTACTAGAAGCTCGTTACATGGCACGTAAACAGCGTCTCGGTAAGGATCATGGCCGGGGGGGTAAGTGAATTTCACCGAAACTGTTAGAAGTGAACGAAAATATATGTGTAGGCTTGGAAAGTGGTCGGACGAACTTGTTTTGCGGAATACTCGGCAAAATAACTCATTTATACAAGTTGTATTACAAGTCGCTTAGACAGCCACATAGAGAAATACCGTAGGAACAATCGGGCCAATTGTTGCTTCGCTGTGACGTCGAGAGTCGGGCGATCAGGTCTTCAAGCAAGAGGCCCGTCGGCCCGTTCTGGCACTTGTAATGCCGTTGCTCGGCACGCACGGTCGCAACCAAAACCTTCCAAACCTGCGAGTTTTCAAATAGTGAATTTTCGCAGTAAAAAGTTTTGTTTGTATCGGGAACTAAATTTAATGCCGAGTCTGGTAACAAACCTGACAGCGTGCAGAAAACAGGATGCTAAAGTTCTTCTTTAGAAAATGCTTGTGTGAAGCGTAAATGCCCTTCTTACACGTACACATTGTTGCCTGTCGCCTTTTAACCAGGCTTTGCAATGTGCTTACGGTTTTCTAGCATGCAGAGTTTGGTTCTAATTACCCCCATTTTATTCTAGTGTGGGGGGGCGTCGGTAGAAGAAGAGGACGGCCGAGCGAGGCGCAAGCGGGGGCCAGCCGGCGATAAAAGAGGAAGAGAGCGTGGTGCACGAGGCTGGGGCCGGGCAGGAACGATAGAGCCGTTCTGGCTGGTCTGGCCTATGGCAATCCCCGGGAGCATTTCACCAGCGAGGTTCGGATCAGGACCGAAGGAAACGGCGAGCCCTGGCTGTGATAGCCCAGAACAGCTAGCCTACACAGCGCTGGCGTAGGGAGGACGATCCGCTGGTCTGGACACGGACTCCGACTGCAAGCTGAGAACGACGGGCAACAACTAGGGTCGGCGGGTCTGGACTGCCGGCTCTCGAAGACGGGCAACCGGGCAGTACAGTAAACCCATTCGCTGTCTTGTCGTGTTGTGTTGTGTCACTTCCTGGGAGACGAGCGAAGCACAGACCGATCGGACGGCAATTATTATAGAGCGACCCCACAAGTGGTGAAGACAACTCAAACTGCTGTCCAAATGACAACTCTGGAATATGCTCGAAACACTTGGACCTATCAAGGATGGTCTTAAAAAAACCGCATAAAAGAACCATGGGACACGGCGCGCACATGCACACGGGAACTGCCAAAATCGGGGTCGCCGCCGCTCGCCATGGCTCGGCGGACAGACTGGCCGCCCCATTAACACACACGCCTCCGCTTGTGGCGCTGAATGCTCTCTCATGGCGCCGCCTGGGCATTGCCGGCTGGCTATAACGTCAACCTGACCCCTGTCGTCAATAGACCGATCTCACTATGCGTTCGGCGCATGCGTGACGCCGCCACAAATTTAGTTCAGACAGCGCACAAGACTGTTCGTGCCCTGCACGCGCAGAGTTCCAGCGAGGTTGTCGCACGTGCAGAAAGACTAAAGTTCCCTAGATGCATTGCGGCAGCGGTGGCGTCAAGGAGGTTATAATGGGCAGGAGGTGGCGTTTCTATCCCCAATGCATGGAGCGAAGTGTAACGGAAATAGGCGTGGCCACGAGCTGCAACGAACATTTTTTGACTAATGGGAAGCCTAGTGAGTGGGCGCCGCCACTAATTTCGGTGCAAACAACCGCGTTGCCATGACATTTCCGTGGCAACACGACTGTGTGCACCGAAAGTGATGGCGGCACCCACCGTTATTTGAAACAGCGCTTAACGGGAGACTTTTAAACCGGTATGGTCGGAATTGGATGAGATTATTATAAACGAATGCCTGGTTGCCCTGCAGAAAGTAAGTGACTAGAATTGAGACGCTCTAGACGACGCACCGTGAAGGCGGTGCGCTACACATTTTTTAATAAACAGCAGCAGCAGATCGCACGAGCGCGCATGCAAGCCAGGAGTGCACAGAACAGTGGGGCTCGCGCTTCAAGTTCTGACTTCGCTCGCACATAATGTGGAACTAAGTATAAACACTCACGCTGCAAAGCATTTGCATCGTGGACGCCCACGGCGGACGCCGACCGCATCGAAAGCTAGCCTCGTGAAGCACACGCCGGAGCAGATTAGAAAGAAGACGAACCGCCGGTGCGCAACCCCACGGCCTCGGAACGGGTGCGCAAGGCAGTCTGGGATTAAACGCCTCTTCCGGCTTCACTCAGGCTGACGTCATGCCGGGTCCTGTCTGTTTAAACCAGAGAGTTATTATAATGTACGCTAGAGGTTCAAGTGGCGCTAGTGTGCTGACGCAAATTGAAGCAGACAGCAACCAGTCGAAAATTGACTTCCGGTAATGCATTTCTATGGGAAAAAGTGAGTGCATTTTCTCTCTGCGCTCGATCATAAGAGCAAATATCCCGAATAATTCGTACGTACTAGGTAGCTTGGAACATTTCTCAGTCAGGCCGACGAAGTAATTGGTCAGTTACGGTGTTTTTCTTTCAAATCCATCGCATTAAAAACAGTGCCAAAACAGCTTCGTACGTGTATTTATGTGCACTGTTGGACACTGTTAGCGCGAACACGGCGTCGGCGCTTTTCAGCTTGGGGGATATACGTGCCAAACGAACGAAGAACATCTGGAAATTAAGAAAGACGGCAAGAACTACGCAGTAACACCGGATCAGTAACTACATGTGCATATACGATCAAAATTAATCGAAGGCCACATAATCTATTCCTATTTTAAATAAGTAAGTACCGTTTTATTCTTTCTGCTCTGAGCGAAGCTGCTTGTTCTACATTCAAAATATCACTCGCACGCTCGAAATCTTTGAGAACAAGTGCCCGATAAAAGCTGCCCGGCAGAGAAAACAATACGAAGAGACAACTTTTATAGCCCACGGACTTTATTCTCTACGTTTTGAATGTTTTATCCGCTCATGCACGACGGGGTCATTTTATATAGTGACAGGACTGGCATATTATCAATATATAAGCGTCACCGGATTGCTGGCGAGCCTTGAACACTCTACATTCCTTTCTATTGTAACTTTGCTTCGAATCGTCGCTTGTTTTTACACACCTGCTGCGGAACACCCGTTTGGGACTGAAATGTAGCGAAGTTAAACATCGGTCACTGATGAAGAAAAATGCGCTAACTAAAGCAATTACACTTTTACAGTGTAAATCAAGGCACATACAATTCGGTACGACCCAAATAACCAAAGTGTTCCGTGTTATTTTCCGGAGAACAGTTAAAATGCACGCGCGCTTTCACATAGGAATACACAGGAAGGCTGGAAAAGTAGACTGGTTGATGTCTGCTTCAATTTGCGTCACGGAAGTCGTATAGACACTAGCGCCAGTTGGACCTCTAGCGTACACTATAATAACTCTATGGTTTAAACGTCCTTGGGTGGCGTAGTCAAATTGGCTGGTGAGATCGGTATATTACGAGAAAAGTCAAGAGTGCTTTCGGTCAGCTGAGTAACAGTCGATAACTAACGCCTGAAGCCGTGCTGGAATGGGGTTGTTATATTATTGTTCTCGACGAAGTACGAGAAACTTTGCTATCCATTCCGCGCACCTTTTTACAAATTCGTTGGGTATATTGTCAGGGCCAGCACTCTTTTTAGTATTAAGTAGGAGCTGCAAGGCACCTTGTTCGGCAACTACTACATCGCCCAATTCGCTCATTTGGGAGCTAGAGGAATTTGTGATAAGTCCGCGAAGCGCGCTCACGCTCACCTGAGCTGTCTGTCGTATTTTTTTAGTTTCTCGGCCTCCAGCGTTCTCGTCTTCATTTCGATGGAAGCTGCCATCACTCGAAACTCGATGAATGGCGCGGCAGCCGTATATTGGCGCGGAGACTGCAGCGCCAAATCTCCCCTAATGGGCGGCGGGTTTCTTTATAAACAACAAGGGAAAAAAAATGTTATTGTAGAAAACACAATGTGTTTATTTCCTTTTATTTACTTGACTCGGGAGAGTTGAGAGAAGTTAAACAAAAAAGCCATCCGCGTCAAATCAACAAAACAAAATAAAAAAAAAACATAAATTTAATTGAAAATATTTTTACAATTATTAGCTACTGTGTAGTTTGTTTTGGTTCACAGGGAAAACAAATCAGAACGTTTGAAGGAAACGTGTTAAACTTAATAAAATGATAAAGTAAGTTCTCTTTTGCACCTAGAGGAGGCGAGTGCAAAGGTACTCGTTTTTATTTTTGTCGTTTTTTCGCTTCTTCTATTTATTTGTTTTTTTGTAGTAATCGGAAGGGTATCAGCCTGTGAGGGAGGCTGTCGTCAGGCGAAGTAGCGCTGTAAACGAGGTGTGTGACCTGTGTCTGTGTCGAATACGTCAAAAATCCCCATCAGGAGCCCGGAGGAGTGCGATGGACTGTCTGTACGCGGTAAGTCGCGCCTGCGACGACCTCGTAGTGGCAGCTGCTCGGCTCCTCAGCAGCTGACGGTCCCCTGCCATTCAATTTCCCGAATTCGTGGAAAGAGAAAAATCTCCCGCAGTCTGGCTTGTAAACAAGAGCTCGGCGGGGGCGATAAAGTGTAACCTGCCAATCGTTATTTGCTGAGTAATTCCCGACTCGATTCTAGCCGTTCATTCATCACGGTCGATGACATTTCAGCATCTTGGATTCTCTCTCGATGGCGAAGCGATTCGTCGGACGAACGGGGTCTGCGTCCGCGGACGTTTCATCGCGGGCAGCGGTCCGAGCCACTACCCGACTGTGCCCATCGTGTCGGCCCTGACGTAATGCCCAGTTTTCTTCGGGTCATTTTCGCTGCGTAGCTCCTTTTTCTCGGAGTAGCTTCTGGGCCCATCGGAAGCGCTCTCGTTTTATCAAAGTCTGGGACAGTGCGAAAGGAAAGCTGAAGAAAGATGGAGACAATTTATGAAATTTTGGCTGTCCCTATTCGCACTCCGAATGCGGATAGTGGTGATTCTAATCCGCACTCTGAGTGCGGATTCACTCCAAGTGCGTGCGGCGGAGAACTTTGCGTGTGGCGTGGCGCGACTTGGACGCGGGAAACTTTAAATACAGTGACTTCCGATGTTGTGCTGTGACATTGGCATGTTGGCAGCGCCGATTCCATAGAAATATTAGTAGTTGTGCGGTGTTTAATGGGGGGAAGACCTATGTTTCGGAATTAATTCAATTTGAAACAAATGCATAATCGTAAGCAAATATTAAAGCAGCGCAAACGAGCACAAAGACAAGTAGAAGAAGGTACACAGACACAGCGCTGACTCACGACTTACTATCTTTTTCGTATTTTTAAAAGACATCAACATAAGAAGCCGTGAGTCAGCGCTGTGTCTGTGTCCCTTCTACTTGTCCTTGTGTTCGTTTGCGCTGTTTAAATTATATGCTTTTTTATGCACCACCGACTAGCTCACCTCCAAACATTACTGCAAATGCATAATCGCATCTTTCTTTTTTTTTTTTCGAAATTGATTAGCGCTAAGTTGCGCATTTGGGTAGAGATTGAACTGTACTCGCGCCTCGAGGACTTGAAAAAAGGCATGAAAGCAGGTAATAAGCAATCCTATTTTTCTTTCAGTTTTTTTGTTTTTTTTGTTTGTTAAACAAATTATATTATTTGCCAAAAAAACGGAAGCTTTGCCACAGTCAGCACATTAACATTGTGTGGTGCTTAGCTGGTGGGGGCAGTAATGTGGGAACGGTGGACGGCGAGCAAATAATTGCCCCCCCCCCCCCCCCCACACACACACACACACAGATGTTCTAAACTTCCCCCGCGCCCAAAACCCGCAACGTTTAACATCCGTCACATCTATCGTTGTCTAGTTACAAACACGCAAATCATACTGTTAAAAAAAAAAAAAAAAGCTACAGTAACAAATGGCCGGGGACTTTTCAGGCATTCCCCCGTCTAGTAGTTTTGAAAGTGTTCAGAAGATGTCTATTGTCTTGTGCTGAGGTGATGGGGGCAGTGGCATAGGAAAGGGGGGGGGGGGGGGCTCTTTTTTTAATAATATTGTTTACTGGAACCCCCCCCCCCCCCCCCTTTTCCTATGCCACTGCCCCCATCATCTAAGCACAAGACAGTAGGGAAAAAATTGTGCACTGCTCTAGTTTCGTTTTTTTCTTTTGTCAATAAAAATATTTAACCCTACAAAAAAATTCTCGGCAGAACTTTTTTCTTTTTTTTCGTAAGGAGGGGGGGGGGGGGGGGAGGGGGGTGATGTGTTTGGGATGTCCCCGAGTTTTGGAGTGGGTAAAATATTAATAAAAGGGTCCCCCCCCCCCCCCCCCCCCCCCCTCCCTCCCTCCCCCCCGCCACAAACACATACACGCATTGATCGTCTGCGTCCGATCCCCGAGGCGTGAGTACCGTTTAATCGTAAGTGCACCACCGAAGGCTAATTATTTTTCTTTCAATAAAAGCGAGAACGTTTGCTTGAAATCATTCTAGTTTTGAAACAAGCAACACCAATATTTCCATAGACTCGTCGAGGCTGCATACAAGCCAGTGTCATTCCCAACGCAAAGTTGAGAACTTCTAAACCACTGTGTTCATAGCTTCCCGAGACAAAATCGTGCCACACGCGGAGTGCGGGGAAATAAAATCCAACGCACTCAATCGTGCCAACGTCTGTGTACACCAGTCGGCCCAGTACCCCGTGCCCCGGTACAGCGTCCGCGCCTCCGCACGCGATCCGCACTCACGCACTCGGGGTGCGGATTGGGCTGGATTCGGACAAATGCGAAACGTTGTTGGAATGTTTCGATTAATGTCTTCCACGTCTCTCCTCTTTTTTTGTTTGCTGTGAACAGCTCTACCGGCAAAAGCACCCACCACATGATTTCCTTTTAGAACCAGAAATTAATATTTGTTTGATAATTTAGTCACATTTGTAAAATGTAAGTTGATTACTAATCCGGCTACCTCCCTCCAAAGGTAGTTAATCTGCAGTTAGAATTACTAGCACAGAAAATAATATTATGCATTATTTTCAGTGCTATACAATTAATTTACTTTGAAAGCTACCTACCACGTTGAATTAACCTGAGACTGGGCTAGAAAAGAAACATAAAAACATTAAAAAAAATACACAGGACGACGTCTCAACTTCGTCCTGTCTGTTTTCTGTCCGTTCTATGTCTTGATGTTTTTTCTCTAGCCCAGTCTCAGGTTAATCCAACGTGGTTAATATTCACCAGCTTGCCTGCGCCCTTACCATATTCTCTCTGATCATCTAACGTTCAGAATAAGGTATAATATAACAGTTTGCATTCACCACTTTGTTTTTTTGCGGTGTGTCGAACCGAAAAAAAAATACGGGTTCGGTTACGGTTCAGGTTCAGGTCAATTTATTTTGTTCCGGTTCAGTTCCGGTTCGATTAATTCGATCCGGGAACCGGTTCGCGAACCGGTTCGGGGCGCTGAACCGGTTCGCGAACCGGTTCGGAAATTATAAATGACAAGTTGCAACATCAAAATAAATTACAAATAAAACATCTGAAATCAGCACATACGAAACGGGATACATCGTAGTGTAAGACTCAGGGATTTCTACCAGGAATGGTTTCTTTATGTGCACTCAAAGGTTACCTCACCGACGTTTACGCATTCGGACTTCATCTAATTGGGTCCGACGCAGTAGCTGAAAAATCCGCGACCTCCTTACAAACCCACTTACAAGTAGAACTCGCTAACTGTCCCGCCACCTCGGCGTGTAAGCAATTGAAGGAACAGTGGGGAGAAAATACAGCTTTCTTTATTTGAACTAGCCTTCGGTAACTCAAATTAGACCCTTAAAGAAGTTTTTATTAAACAAGATACGGAATATGAAAAACACTTCACCGAACGCAACGCCAGAAGGACGTAATAGGATAAATATTAAAATAGAAGAGTTCGCTGTCTCACAAATATGTTAGCTTCTAAGTGCCTATACGAAACCGGATGCATTATTATCAAACTCCACAGCCTTTTCTTTTCTCATTCCGATGAAAGCAAGCTTCAAGAACTCGCGCGTTCTAGAAACGTGTTATGAAATGAGCACACAGCAGCATTTAGGATTTACGAGATTGTAAAAAAAAAAAATCCCGTGACGCGATTTTATTTTTTTTTTTTGCACAGCCTTTTAATTTTTTTTCTTCCGTGCAAGCCGCGACCAGCGCAATACTGGTTCCCATGTCAAGATTCATGGATGCAGCGTTTGTCAAGATTCATGGATGCAGCGTTTATATTCCTAAGACTGAGTGGAGAAGAAAAATATGTAAGCGAGGGTGTGTGTCAGTTGACGGCACTTAAGGCTGCGGTCCCACGGCAGCCATCTTGAACAAGGCGTTAGTTCAAACAATAGATGGCGACACGCACCCGTGGGGTGGCCGAAACATTGGTTCACAGTGGGATGGCTCGAGCACCATCACGTTCCCCTCGTGGCCTTGCTCGCGCCGCTGCCAGCTGTGCTCCGCTAGCTCAAGTAGCGTGGCCCAGCAAACGGATGTATGCGGAGATGCGGTTCGGCGGTTGTAACGGGCTTGCGCAACAAATCTTACCAAGAAGGAATCAAATGTTGATTGACGTGTTAATATTGTATCAATGAAAATTTCCTCTGCAGGAATGCAAGCTCAGTAGACTCAATCTTCCAAGACACCAGTGGAAGCGGACGTCAAGTCGCGATTTACGGTGCTTACCTGAGCATTTTAACGACGACTAAAATAACGTCACGAAATATTGTGTTTCACGGGGTCCGGCAGATGTCGTAAAGGTTGTTACATTATAGTTCCCAGAAAACAAACGCCGTTTCAATATTTTCGGAAGTACCGACACACATAATGTTGTAAGTACAGCTTAGGAGGAATATGATGAAAACCATCAGAAGAAATAGGAAGACGTTTATTTGCAATGAAGACGCTATGAATGAACGGCGTTTAGCGACGGCAAGCTATGAGCATTCGGGAATTTATAAGTTCACGTGATTGCTAACTATGGACATGCGTTTTTGTCGGGAGATGGTGTCGCGGTGATGACCTGATATCGCACGACTCGTGGCAGACGAACTTGCAAGTCTTTTCTCAGCGAATGGTAAGTGTCCAGTGTCAAGCACAACACGTGGCTACCGACGTTGTCGACGTTTCGAACACTTACCGCTTTCGACAAAAGTCCTGGCACCTGGGCTAACTTTCTGGAAAGACTCGAAGTCTTCCTTGAGTCCAACGCCATCATGAACAGTAACTGAAAACGATCCACTATTCAATCGGTGGGCGGCGAAACGTATCCGCATCTGCGGAGTCATGGACGATGCGTACTCTAAGTGGCTGGAAGTTTACACGATGCCTGCCACGACGTCCAAACACGTCATTGACGTTCTACGGTCTCTTGTACCTACTTTTGCACTACCGAAAATACTTTTCTCTGATAA